CGATATGGAAGAAAATGCAGAATAGAACCAGTGAAGAGTAGGGGTGTCATTGGCACAATCAGAGAACACTATAAACGTCAGAGGTCCACGGTTGTTCAACCTCCCAGCGAGTATAAGAAATATTGCCGGAACAACCGTGGACATCTTCAAGAGAAAACTAGATTATTTTCTTCAAGAACTGCCGAACCAATCGGGCTGTGGTGGATATCTGGGCCTGCGGGCCGCTCCAAGCAACAGCCTGTTGGACCAAGCTCTCAAAAGTGAAGCCTGGCTTGTGGAGTGGAACTCCCTGAACCCAATGAAGCAGGTATCAAGTAGCTATCAAGCAGGTTAATAGCACTCCAGTAAACTCTATGCCACTCCAATACACCCCTCGCCACCCAAGTGCACTCCAATTCACCCCTTTCCATTGGCCTACGTGCCACCCGTTACAGAAAGTAACAATTAACAATTTCTGAAACCTTTTCTTTTTGTAAGCATCCTGACTTTTTGGCATCCGAGTTGAGAAAGCCATCTTGGAACATATACGAACTAGACCAACCTCTGAAAATATACATACAGTACTATGAAACCTTGGAGCATATATGCATGGGCCAATAGGCCTTCTGCAGTTTCCTTGTTGTTGTCATTTTAGATTTAGCTACTCAGAACGAAATGTCCATGTAGCACGGGCTATAGTGAGCCCGTAAGTTTCCTTGATTCTTATGTTCTTATATACACATACTAGAACATCCCCCATAATATAAAGGCACATCACCTCATCAAAAGTGACAATGTCACCCTATTTTGTCAAGAGTGTAGAATGAGAAACCTGTGTTAGCCAGCTGAATCGAGAGAAGAGATGGAATTCTGACCAAGCAAGTGGGACCGCTGCGAGATAATTTTCATTTTATACCTATGAAGGTAAGTCGGGTTTACACTGCTGTAGACCTGGCTAATTCAGTCAAAACTGAAGCCATTTATATCAGAATCTGAGTCTTTATTCGCAACAACTATCTAACATTCTGCTAATGTGGCTGGGATGGATTTTTTTGTTTTGGGTCCCTAAAGCCTGAATTACCCAAGAACATCACCAAATATTTTTACCTAAATCACTGTTCTAATACTATAAAAATCTTCACAAACAAAATACATAAAAAACATGATACATATCACTAAATGAGCAACATAAGAAAATGGGCACCACCCCCAGGACACAAGCATAACCCACTGCCAAGGTCAATCGCAAAACATTTAACTATCCTACATTTTGGGGGGAAACTATTACCAGACAATTCTGAACTACCTGATGCCCACTAACCCGAGGGTCAGTAAGAGCAAGCCCTCCCACACCAGCCAGCTTGCCCACCATGAATCCTATAGGAGACTATGTAAACAAAAGTGAATTACACTTACTCATGTGAAATGGATAGCTGAAGAACATGACCCAGGAGCCTGGACTGGAATCCTCAGAAGCATGAAAACTGCTCAAAGGCCACACACCACTGTCAAAGATGGGGTGGAACAGGCAGGAACCGAAATGCAAGGATGCTCATGGATCTCCAGAAACCCCACGACCTAAGGTAGGCAAAGAAAAGCAAGTGTCTGTAATGAAGCAAGTTTCCAGAAATTAGAAGCCAGAAGTTATATATGAGCTGACGCACCTTAACGAATCAACTGTCAGGTGATCCAGGAAAAATTCACCTAGAGAACTACGGAATTCACGTAATGAGTCAGGAAACATGCTTTGGGTGTAGGGGGTACATGCCTGATAAGTATTTTGAGATAATTTCCCTGGTAACTGGGATACTTACCTGGGAAGCCAGTGTCATTCATGCTGTGATTTGGGAATCTAGGAAACAAGCAAATTAATCATTGGATTCTGGTCAGGAACTCTAGAATCCAGCACCAACAGGGATGACCAAAAGTAACAAACACCATATTAAACCCAAGATAGTTGAATGCAGCCTTCAGCCTCAGTGAAACACAAAATGAGGTACACAAACCTCTCCTGGCACTCAGTAACTGGCCATTCCCTGCAGGTCCAACCTATCCTCCTGTTTAGAGAGTACTTTTTGTAATTATGTGCAACATAGTACAATCGACATAAAAGGCAATTAGTAGAATTTGGTACTATTCACTGGATAGTCTGACAAAAAATAAAGCTAAAAAACAAATTTAAAATATTCCTAGGCCTAGTATAGCACATATATATACTATATTAGGCCTAGGAAGGTTAGGTTACACACAGAAATCACAATAGCATGATGCATCAAATGAACAAATCCACAAGAGCCGTGACAAGGGTTTGAACCTACGTCTGAGAGGATCCCAGATGCTGCCTTAATCGACAAGAGCTACGACATGGTTAAAAGAATTGCAACCGGGAAATCATCCTGATCTACCTTGGGTCCTGCAGCCTCTCTGAGACACAAACCAGGGTTTTACGCAATTCCCCCATGCATCCGAGCTCTGCCAATAGGCTGTTCTACCTCTTCGCCCTTACTTCATTACACACAAAAATCACAATAGCATGATGCATCAAATGTACAAATCCACAAGAGCCGTGACGAGAGTTCGAACCTACGTCCGAGAGGATCCCAGACACTGCCTTAATCGACTGAGCTACGACATGGTTAAAAGAATCGCAACCAGGAAATCATCCTGATCTATCACGAGTCCTACAGCCTCTCCTAGACAGCTGCAGGAGAGGCTACAAGACCCGCAGTAGATCAGGATGATTTCCCGGTTGCAATTCTTTTAACTGTGTCGTAGCTCAGTCAATTAAGGCAGCGTCTGGGATCCTCTCGGACGTAGGTTCGAACCCTTGTCACAGCCCTTGTGGATTTGTTCATAAGGTTAGGCTAGTTTAGGTTGTCTTTGCAACATAATACAAAATCTTTTTCTGGTTTGTCCAAATTTTGTAGTAACGATTTCTTCTTTCTAACTGTTCGTTATGTCAAATATGTACTATGGTCCTCATCATTACTGTAAGTACTAACTAAACAGGAGGATGGGCTGGCAGGCCACACCAATAGGAATGGTTAGATGCAAGAGATTTATATGCATAAACATTGATCCTCATCCAACCTAAAAAGGAGCTTAAATAGCCCAGAACTAACCAGAAATGTTCACTGAATACCACACTCGTTTAATAGTATAAATCTGAAAACAGTGCTGAAATTTGTACCCAAATGACCTAAAGCACGCACAATGAACTACAACCACATGTAATTACTTCACTCCTACTCCTCTGATCAAGTCATGTAGCACTGCCCAACTAGGTACAATTTGATAAGTACCAGGAAAGGTTTACCCTGAACTATACCTAATATGGAAAGAGGGCAAGAGGTATGCAAATCAACTGGCATAGATGCTCTGAAACCTTCTAAGCTTGGAAACCCTAGATAGGAGTATCGAAGTCCAAGAATGAGTCAAGTTACCTCATAAAACCATAAGAGGTCACAAGCCTCAAGTGTATTTTTGCCACACCACCACCCCGTAAGTGAAAGAGCTTCCTTACTCTGAACTTCTGTTACTAGGGGCTGCTAATTGGTAATGGTCGGTACAGTTATATAAGGGATTAGGTCAGTGTTATTTGGCAATCTCCCAGAAGCCAGGCCATGTGTCTGTGTCCTAAGACATGTCAGTGATGTAAGTCAGCAGAGCCACTGAGGTGCAAGTCCTGAAGTGTGAATTCATCCAAGAGAAGCAAAGCCAACTAGTATTTCCATACGTTGTTCAAATGATATTGCAGTGTACAATATATTACAGATATTGAGGAAATTTAGTGCAATCAGTTAGTAATGGCATGACTGATGCAGTTGCTAAGTCCACAACGAGTGACTATTTTAAGCTGTCACTCTGGTCAGGAAGATATGATGCTATTGTTGCTATAGCAATAGAATGTTGCTATTGGGCTTTCATAACAGATTGAAAATAGATGGCAATCAGAGTTTTTGGAGAAGTTCGGATGTACTGTATACCAAAGGTGAAGGAGCAAAGTTTAAGTGTATGATCCCAGAAGCAGGTAAGAATTGTTATTTAAATGCAGCACTTTTCCTTATGACACAAAACCTGGCATTAATGCAGGCCTTAAAGTCTCTGTAGTTTACCTGCATTTTCGTGCTTTACCATTAATTCAGATGGCATGGAGGAGGAGTCGAACACTTTCCTTTGTCCTTAGTAAAATCTTTTATTTACCCCATAGATAAATTATCTAAATGTAATGTGCTTATCACACTACAGTATACAATACACATTAATAAAAACACATAAAGACAAACAAACATATATAGTGCTTCACTAAAGTGATGATAAAAGCCCACACAAAGTGCAGAAACAACCCTCTCCCTTTCAGTTTATTTGTCTTGTAATCATGAGAGAGTGAGAGAGAAAAAAAAGCATATCCTTCCAGAGGTTATGATGATGCCTCAAACTTAAAACCAAATCCAAAATTTTTGAATTGAACAAGTACATCACACAGCTTTTAGAAAACACAAAACTGAGCCAGGTTTAAGAAAATTCAAAGTTTTTATTTTTCTACAAATTATTTTTACAAATGCAGCACTTTTTAATAATACTTTCATTGCTGGCATTAAGTCCTTTCTCCTCATATCTTGCAAAGTTTAACACCTTAAAATTGTTGCGACAAACAATTTGAGCAACTTTGAATAAATTGTTAAACTGACAACTTTAGAACACATACGGTCAGATAATGTTGAAGAATATGAACCAAACATGCTAGCATGAATGCTAGTTCATACACTCGCAGTGTATGAACCCAAAAAACAGACAACTGGGCTATCAAATGTATCTAAACCACAAGTGGCAATCAGCATTAGATGCTTATGTAACTTTCACAGCTCTGGCACACAAATTTATTGATTATTCAGGAAAATTCTTGTAATATTTCAAGTGTCCTTCAAAATTATGTGAAACACCATTATACATTGGTTATTATAGGTAGAAGTATGGTATAAAAATAATAAAGAATATGAGGAAAAAATTAAAACAAAGGCTGTAGAATATCTACCAATTTTTACACTGCCCACAGTCAAATTAAGGTCTATTTTTAACATCAAACAGTTGTACTACAAGGTTGAACATTTTTAAACTACTACTAGCTAAGCAACTGCTGAATACCTGTATTCCAATTTTGGTTACTTGGAATCTATCTAATTTACTTATTATGTACAGTACCTATATAAATGTTTTTTCATAATATAAAATAAATATATTTACTATGTTGTATATAAAAACACCTCACTATCCTCCGAGGAGCCTGATCCTGCTGCTCAAGAGATCACCTTGCGTGGTGAACAGCATCACCTTACCACGCGAGACGTGTCATCAGCCTGTTGAAGGAAGAGAATAATGTGGCCTCATGGGCAGTAGCTTAAGTCTACAAGGGAGGCACTGAGGAATCTTTGCACACATATATGTATCAATTTAAACAGTTATATATAAAATAAATGTAAATCCCCAGGACATTTTATAATGTGGATGGATAAACACTTGCATGTTCCAATAGCATTCATTATTACCTCTCTTGAACAGTATGTTGGGTTCATACATGCTGTTCCACTCCCTTTGCTAATGTAATGTAAAGGAGTATATTAAGTAAATATGAATGTTACAGCATTAACACATTTCTAAAAATTTTAAAAATACATGTTCACTGTTTCACAGCAATGTAATTACCGGGTCACTAAATGTACAAATAAATTTTTTAAAATCTATCAACAAAGTTTGCTGATATATACCGTTCAATGTTTCTTGTATTCTGAAGTCTACAGTGGGACTACTGTACTCACTTTTGTACTGTACAACCGAAGACTGCAAGACCCCTTATTGCATGTATAGACTCCCTTATTTACACATTATTGCACATGTGCCAAAATAAAGTTCACCACTATGGAAGTTACTGTATATCTGAATTATGATCATGATTAATTCTGCATTTGTCATTCTGAACTAAAAAGACAGACGACAATGGTCACGTATCAATACAACACTTGACGACATTCTATTCCAATAAGAGTAAATCTCCAAGTATTTTATATTACAAACTTTTCAATGTATCACTTCACAGGTTCCATCGGCTACATATTTAAAAATGTGTTATCTATACACATAATTATTGTACAAAGTTCCTTCCCACCACCACCACCACCAATCAGGTCACTTGATTCACTAACATTCTGCCAGAAACTAAACTGTTCCTGATCTTTTACAATTTCTTTGCACCATCACTTAGTTCATTGAGTTAAATCACTATTTACATTTTGTCACAGTGCATTTTTCAAAGATAAATTACTTTCAATGATTCAAACTCTTCCAAAATCAGAAGAAAGGGGTTTAAAATCACTCCGCTGATAGTCACTTGCTAAACATTGTCATCTATAGTTTTCTAAATCACACAAACCACTGTTCCAGCAACATTTGGTAAGCTGTCTATTAAAGTATTCCTGTGTAAGAAATATAATAGGCTGAAAGAGAAACCTGAAAAAAAATACAGCCAGTGGATGTATTAAAATTTCTTAATGAAATACCATTAAAATTAATCATAGGATAAATGACAATAAACATATAAACATAAGATTGCATGGTATGTAAACAATATATTGTTAAAAATAGTGTCTGTAAATTCGGTTCATTTTTCATGTGTATAATATAATGACTTTTCTCAAGCATGGCAATATATTGGTTGCACTTCCCTGAAAGAAAATAAATTATAACTAAACAAAAACTTTTGCAGTTTATTATTTTATTTCCTTTTCAAGTCTCTTTTTGTTAAATTTTTAGTTGCCAAAATACTTTTTGTTTGCTTTTGTTTCTGTAAACCTGAAAGAGTTCCTAAAAATAATTTCAATCTCTCTCTGATTCCCTTTTCTTTTTCTTCTTTTTATGCTTATGTTTTCTACCGTCATCACTTCTTTCATCTCTCTTTTTCTTTCTTCGTTTTCTTCTCTTCCTACTACTATCACCATGTCTTTTTCTAGGAGATTCACACTCATCATCATCATCATCATCTGTTTCACTTTCAGACTTATAACTTTCAGTAACTTCACTATGCCCACGCTGTTTTCTGAGATCGCTACGTTCATCATGCCTGTCAACTTCACTATGCTCACGCCGCTTTCTGAGATCGCTACGTTCATCGTGCCTGTCAACTTCACTATGCTCACGCCGCTTTCTGAGATCGCTACGTTCATCATGTCTGTCGACTTCACTATGCTCACGCCGCTTTCTGAGTTCACTACGTTCATCATGTCTGTCGACTTCAATGTGTTCACGACGCTTTCTGAGTTCACTACGTTCATCATGTCTGTCAACTTCACTGTGCTCATGCCGCTTTCTAAGTTCACTACGTTCATCATGCCTGTCAGTTTCACTATGCTCACGCCGCTTTCTGAGTTCACTACGTTCATTATTTCTGTCAACTTCACTATGTTCATGCCTCATTCTGAGTTCACTATGTTCATCATGTCTGTCAGCTTCGTTACGATCACGCCTCTTTCTAAGTTCACTGCATTCATCATGTCTGTCTCTATCTACAGTGAGTTCAGCTTGAGACCTCTCTCTAGTTTCAATATGTTTCATGTCACTTCTTACTCTCCTTTCACCATGGATGTCATGTCTAACTCTGAGTTCTTTGGACTGAATGTCTCTTCTTTCCCTTGGTTTGTTAATGTCTACATCAACTCTCCCTCTGGTTTCATTGTGATTAATGATACGTCTTCCTCTAGGTTCAATAAGATCCATATTTTGTCTCCCTCTTATTGCCTTAGCAGGAAAAGCACACTTTGTTCTATTTTCAATAAGATTAATATCCCTGTGATGCTTGACATTACCAAAGCTTAGCCTGTCCTTCACAGATATATCCCTTTTTTCTCTTTCTATGTCAGCCCTTAGAATTTGATTTTTCCACCTCATATCAATACCATCACTTCTATTGTCATCTCTCTCATGCAGCCTTTCAAAACCTGGCTTATCTGGAATGCCATATCGTTTTTCATTGTTGCCTTCCCTCACTACACTAGGGATTCGCAAATTACTATCATAGCTCAGTCCTCTTTTGCTTCTCTCTCCTTGCTCACAGTGCTTTTCTCTTTCGTGGAGAAGAAGGACCTTTCGAGCACCCTCATTTTGCTCTCTATCAAGTCTTGGTTTTTCCCTGATATGCCTCTGATTAAAGTCAATGTTATTATCATGTTTTCGAACATTAACTTCTTCCGCTATTAGATGCTTTTGTTCATATTTCTCTGCTCCTCTTCTTTCAGGTGCACAGTCTGTCCTTTCTAGTAATTTATTATCTCCTTTGTGACTATCAATATATGGGTGAGATTTCCTATCATTACTTTCCCTTGGTTTATGATCAAACTCTCCTGTCCAGTCACTTTTACCTCTCATTCTTTCAATACTTCTCTGATCTTTGTAGTCATTACAACTTCTGGACTCAAGACCACCATGAAGTTCTTCCTGTACATAACTACGGTTATTATCTTTAGACGTACCTCTATGGTCGACTTCTCTTTCCCTAGCCCCCTCAAATTCTTTTTGATCCCTGGATTCTTCTCGTAATCTCCTTTCTTCAACATTGCTATCTTTATTTGCAGCTTCACGGTCAGCCACGCTCTCAAAATATTTTACATATATATCTTGATAAGGATCTCTTGCACCCATTTGACTTTGTCGCCAATCATCACGCTCTTCATAATGACCAAAATAGCCGGGATATCCACTGCCTCGATTTCTCCCTCGCCAGATTCGAGGCCAACGTCCACGGAACCCTCTTCGAAAGTTTGGGTAGCCCCCACGGTCATGACCTCGTGGATGAAAGTTTTGGTAATAGTTGTCTTCATATTCCTCTTCAACATATTCATCTTCATAACGATTGTCCTCTGGATCGCTCGACAGCTCCAAGTCACTCTCCCTTAGATCATCATAATTAATATCATCATCTTTTTTATCACTGTCCTTTCTGTTGCCACTTTGTTTGTGCCGTTCATTTCTGTATTTATCTCTTCGTCTATCAGGTGATCGACTGGACTTTTCACGGCTAGTGCGCTTATGTTTCTTGTTTCTACTCCTGGTCCTTGAACCAGACTTGGAGCGTGATCTGGATTTTGATCTACTTCTTGATTTGGACTTAGAATGTGACCTTTTAGATTTTGATTTGGATCTTGATCTGTGTTTAGACTTTGAGCGTGACCTGTGTTTAGATTTGGATCTGGATCTGGACCTGGACCTGGACTTGGATTGGATCTGGATCTGGATCTGGATCTGGATCTGGATCTGGACCGGGACCTGGATCTAGATTTTGACCGCGATCTTTTAGACCTTGACCGAGATCTGGACCTTGAGCGAGACCTTTTAGACCTTGACCGAGATCTGGACTTTGACCGTGACCTTCTAGATCTTGAATATGAGCGAGAGCTGGACCTTCTAGACCTAGACCTTCTAGACCTGGATCTTGATCTAGAGTGGGATCTAGACCGTGAAAGGTTGTCATTATCCTCTCTTTTGTACCATGTTGTTGGTTTTACTTCCCTCTCATGTCCAAATTTGTTGTGTTGCCAAGAACCTCTAAAGCCACGACCTCGGTCTCTAAAACCTCGTCCCCTATCCCTAAAACCACGACCCCTCCATGGACCTCGGGGAAATCTCCATCTTCCTCGGCTCCTTCCTCGTCCCTGGTCATAATATACATCATCGTGCCCCCATTCCTCGGGAAAGTTATGAGATTCTTTACCGCCAAAACCCTCATAATATGGTGGGAATTGCTGGGGCTCATTAGGTCTAACTTGTGACCAACTTGTGGCGTCATTTTGATGTTTTTCATCATTCACTTGATCCATACGCATACGACCTGGAAGGTTGATACCCGATTAGGAACCGCATCTGAACAATATCTGATAAAAATTACAATCTAAAAAACTTGTACCTGAAATTTAATTAATACAATACCAAGAGTACCAGGAGTGAATTCTGGAATCTCTTCTGTTCCCCAAACCCAGCCTGGGTCCAGGCTCGACTTATGATAACTTGGACCAACAGACTGTTCCTTCAAGTAGTCCGCAGGCCCACATATCCACTACAACATGGTTGGTTTGGCACTTCTAGTAGGAACATGTCTAATTTTTCTATAAGATCTACTTTTTTTTTTGTTTCAGCAATATTTTGGAATTTTTGATTATATTAAAAAGATTATAAATATTAGACCCATATTGCAATTAATTTTTTCTCAAATTTATAACTGGAACAAAATTCTGGTAACGCTACAACTCCCCTCCCCCACTATCTAGGGTTACTCTATAAAAAAAAGTAAAGGAATAGATAATTAAGAGTTGTATGGCATAAGACTTCGTGCAGTCATGATTGCATTAGCATCTCATAATGATAAGAACAAGAAATAACATTTTATTTTTAGGGTGGACCCCAGAGCGAATCTGATATGATGTAAAGACATTACAGTATAGACTAATTGTGATGGAAGACTTTACTGGAAAAGATGGACCCAGTCCTGAAATTGACAAAATATGTAAGTATGGTGCTCCATGAGTAATTGACACTGGCCTCATATTGAAAGAAGTGTAAAATGTAAGCAAACCATATACAGATTATCATTATCCAATTTTCCACCTCATATTGAAAGAAGTGTAAAATGTAAGCAAAGCATATACAGATTATCATTATCCAATTTTCCACCTTTATAGGGTGAGGGGAAAGGAATCCATGTGCCAAGGAAATTGTTTACTAATAATATCAAACTTGGAACTCGCACACCTTGTTTGTTTGTCTGTGATCAGCTGGCAAGATGTGTTTGTTTCGGCAGCAGCTAAAGTCACTTCGTAATTTCTTAACAAAAACATATGGTTCTATTATATTACAGTATACGGCGTAGTATAATATTATATAACTTTGTTGTACAGTACTGTATTTTGTGTTATTATTTTCAGTAAACAAAGAGTTTAGTTTTAGGCACAGTATAAATACAGTGTTCATCAACATCATTTAAGTTAGCACTCAAATACTGTACAGTACTTGGTTTTCTGTAAGTAACAGAGGCTTCCACACTGTTTTTATTATTGGGAACTTGGGGAAAAAACAAAAATAATCAGTCTGATGTTAGATTTTTTAGTTTTTTTTAATGATGAAAAACAAAATGAAGTTAACTGGGATGATGTTAAATAAGGTTCACCTGTATAGTATTTATATTCAATAGTTATTAATAAAGAATAAAACTAATTGGAATACCATCTAAAATTTATAAGTATATATCATACCTAAATGTGTACTTCTCAAAATACAGTATATTACTTATCCACATATCCAATCATAATTATGGGATCAATGCACAGGGATCAACAAGTGTATAAACTACTTTAAATCTGTAATTACTCAAAAGGCAGCCATCAGTATTAGTATTTAACTATAGCTTCAGAGCGCAACAGTGCAGTATCTAGTATTTCCTATGTACAGTTTAATCATAAGAAAGGCAGACAGGATAAATAATTCCTTATTTATACCAAATTGGATGACTAAACAGATCAATTATATATGACAGTGTCCGACCACGAAGGAGGACTTAAAACAGGAAATTCCTCAAGTACTTTCATATTTAATAATACATCTTCAGAAGGGGTTTAATAATATTTAATAATACATCTTCACCCTTCTGAAAATGCATTATTAAATATGAAAGTACTTCATGAAATTCCTGTTTCAATTCTTCCTTCGTGGTCTGACACTCACATTTTTCATCACGTGTTAATTTTTGTGATTTAATCACATCATTTATTTATTTATTTTATATATATATATTTTTTTTTTTCTTCAATAATTAGATTAATAAGCAGGAATGGTAGATTACACAATCTATAATCTTTAGTAACCTTACCAACTATAATTTTGGGTGGATTTGATTCTGATGAAGTTGAAGTAGAGGAGGAGGAGTCTGAATCAGAGCTGGAATCTGAGTTGGTATCAGTTGTAGCACTTGAGATGGAAGACAGCGATGCAGCTGAAATAACACTTTGCAGGCGAACCTAAAAACATAACAAGTTGAAGATTACTAAATGACAATATGTAATAGCAATAGATAATTTGTAATATGATATATATGAACCCCCTCCCCCCAAAAAAAAGAATGGAGGAGAAATTGAAAACAAGTGAGATCCAAGAATAATATTGACAAAAATCAGGCTTTGGGTAGTAATCCTGAAATGTGACAGGATTGTGCAGAGTCAAGCAGAAGGGCACTAGTACAACAGGACATTTGGATCACCCTGGCTCCATAGGACCAAATGCAGCCATAAATGGAGGAAATCCCCTATAAGTCTGACAAAGGGTACTGGGACAACAATCTAAACAAAATCTTACCAGAGTGGCTTTACTAATGCCAAAAGATATATATCAACAAGAAAAGTGGCAAAGAACCAAGAACTGGTAAAATGCCCTGTAAATCACCTCATACTGCTGCCTCACAAATGCGAAGCAGATTGGAAATAAGGGAGGCTGCTACCTGCTCTGAACTGTGGAGAAGAGTGAAAAGTTGCAACCCACCAGGAACAAGTACAATTCAAAACTGGAACACCACACCAACTGAACATGGGAACTGAAATTTCTACCTGGAATGAGCAGCAGATAGGACTACGAGAACTGTTGCTTGCAGCATCATCAGGCTCAGAAATGAGGGCGATGCATTGCAAAACAAACGAAAAATTGTATCTCACACTGTAAAGTGGGATTTCCATAGGCCCATCTCCAGTGGGGTAGAGGTTTGCAGGTGCCTTGCCAGCTATGTGTCTGGTAAGTGGGGTAGAGGTCTGGTTTCGGCCGAGCGGACAGCACGCTGGACTTGTGATCCTGTGCCTGGGTTCGATGCATGAGTTTCTTTACCCTATGTGTCAGTAAAATAGGTACCTGGGTGTTAGTCAGCTCACGGGTGCTTCCTGGAAGCTGGTCGAGGAGGGAAGCTACTCAAGATAATAGCTAGTGCCTAAGCTGAGGGAAGCTACTGACAGGGCTGCCAGGAAAAGCTTTATTTAAATGTCAGCATTCTCCACTGAAGAGCATTATTTTTACTCTTAATTTATTCTAGTAAATAATTATATAAATGTAAATATTTCTAACCTTTCCTTGAACAGCTTTCCGAACCTTTTCTCGTTGCTGCTCCATTCGGTCTTCCTCCCTAGATTTATAGGAGCGGACTAGCTTATCCCGCAGCATCCGTTCCTTACTTGCCAACTTCTCCTGCAGCTTACAGTCCTTTAACTAAGATGAAAAAAATTCTGAATATATTTAATATTGCATTAGACCTGAAATGAATTTTACAAAGTAATGTCTTTTTATTATATTGTAAAATATTTTGTATATTAAACACATACCAAGAGTTTTTTTCAGGAACAATGGATATACTGTGTAAAACTTACAAAATATTTAATATTGATTACACAGATCTAGATGATGGTGACTTGACTACCATACATATTTATCAGTGCAAATAATATTTAAGCAAGTAAACTGCCTTATCAAATCATACAAAAATTATGTATAGGAAGAAATTTGTTGTCTGTTATTACTAATGCAGGAAATGCCATGAGAGTTTACCTAGTTGGGTCTATGGGAAGTGAGATTAAGCTCACTTACATATATCTTATATAAGGAAATAGGACAATTCACTAAAATAAAGATATGTAGTTCTGTAGTTATTGCAAACTCTTCTCCATTTCTTTATTTCCTTTACCTTTTTTGTATTATGCACATCAATGTGTTGAAAGAGTTCAGTCTCTCGCTGGTGAGATATTTCTTTCTGCCTCACAATCTGCAACGAAAACAAACACCTTTTTTAAATCTTTTATTTGACAAAATATATTCTACACTGATCCATGTATATCTATTGTTGCTGCAAATTTTAGAAACATTCATATGGTAGAAATATTCATATGGTAGAAATATCCATATGGTAAAAATATCCATATGATAGAAAAGGAAATCCAAACAAAAGTAAGGTGATTTCCCATCGGTGGTTATGGGACATAAGATGTATTTCCTAATGCTCTGTCTCTTAATCATTTTTATGCAATAAAAAAAAGAAATGACTCACATAATTCCTCAAAGCTATTGATATTCAAAATGTAAACAATAACATGCACATGCATACTGACCATGATAAGTAATATATATTAGTTGCAAAATACAACCAAAACTAATTCTGACCATTTTCTACATCAATTTATGTCATTTTCACATTGACCTATATTGTTTTTTACATACTCTCTCTCTGTCTCTTAGTCACTCACTCTTACTCACACACATGTTCAATCTCTCATGCTCATTAAAATATATACTGTACATCCAATAATTTTATTAAATTATATTCTCACATTCTTTAGCCTAGGGATATAAAAAAATAATACCTTTATCCTTTCAAACAGCTCATCCAAAAGACGAATACTCTCTAACTTGCGTTGAGCCAGTAATAGTTTGCGTTCCTCCAGAGCAATCTTCCTAGCAAACTTAGCCTCCTCTTCCTCCTCCTCTTGTTTAATCTTTTCTTCTGCTTTCATGAGTCTCTTTTTTCGTCTTTTCTCTTCCCTTGCTTTTCTTCTTTCTTCTTTCTCCCTTCTCTTTGCTTCCTTACGTTCTTCTCTGAGTTTCTGCTCCTCTTCTAATTTCATCCTGGTTTCAAACAAAGAACATTGTGACATCTTAATTTTTTTTACTAAGATCTTAGAAATGTATACAAACTATCTTTGATACTGTATTGAAGTTACTTTTTAAAGTGAGACAGGTTTTTACAGCTACTCAGTCTAGCATCTTCTTTCCATTTTAAATAAACTGTTTAAACTTGCACACAAGTCATCTACTTATTACTATAAATAGCTTACACGGTAATTACATTCTTCCTAAAAACTCGCCTTCCTTAAGGATCTGATTCCAAGTCAAACTTTCCCCATATATTTAATTTAAAATATTTATTATTGAGAAACTGCACAAGCTGGTTTGGCTACCTATTGAGACATCTGCAACTTGCTTGCACTGAGAATCATGAATTTGAAAAAAGAATGAGGACTGCCTCAGCAAGAACATAAAAGGATTTGCACTACAGTATTATAATAATTTTTAGGACACTCATTGAAGATGCATTATACAATTAGCGCGAGATGACTCCTTTTATTTCCTACACATTGATATGTAAAAGATGGTGGTACTGTATTTAAGTTCAAATTCTAGAGAGAACCCTACAAAAATTACTTTATTCATCATTACCAAAAAGAGAGAGATGGGTCAATAGATTTCTTAATTCATTTTTGGAGTTGCAACAAGCCATTCCTTGACAGGTACAAGTACAGTATGTTATCATTTCGATGACCAAACCACACACCAGAAGATGAGGAGATGACAACGTTTCAGTCCGTCCTAGAGTACAGTATTATCAAGTAGATCAAGTCACAATTGACCCGACAATGGTCCAGGACGGACTGAAACATTGTCATCTCCTCATCTTTTGGTCATCATTTCTTCAGCCACGTTATTGTGACTCATCGTCTATTATCAATTTCCTCCAAAATTTTAAAATTCCATACATCTGATTAGCGCAGAAAGCGAGCAATGAAACCAATACAAAAGTTACACCAACAGAACCAAAATAATGGCTCAGGTAACATCACTAATGCCCTTAATAAAGCCAATACCATTCAATAGTTATGCACAGAACAACGTCAATAATCAGCACACTTATCAATAACATATCTAGCAGAAACAATGTTACCATTGTGGGAGTGTCCACAATATTTGGTAGTAATTGTGACAAAGTATACATACAGTACTAGAGAAATATCTAGATTCTAGACAAACCAAAAGTAACACCTCAAACTTTAAAGATATGGTACTGAGCTTATCGTCAAATTAGAAAACAATATTAAAAGTGAGTATATTGAATCTGCAGCCTTCAAACACAGCACCATCAGAAAGAATTATGGAAAATACAATATTGCAACACCCCACCCCCTTTTTTAAACTGATTGAATAAAATATATATATATATATAATAGCGATGTGATAATAACCTATGGGGTAGTGAATAACTATGGTCAGGTGGTAGAGTAATGATGTATGCTGCAGTGGTAATGACATACAGTGTACTGTAGTGGTAATGCCCTATGGTGTAGTGGTAATGACCTAGGTCTATTAAAGACTTACACCGAGGTAACAATGACCTTCAGAAAATTGGTGACTGTGGTAAGATGGTTGTGAATTATGGTAAGGAGGTTGTGATTAATAAGAAGTAATGTGAGAGCCCATAAAAAGTTTTCATCAGTTTTACATAATGTTAGAAATTCCCCCCTCCCCTCCCCTTTTTGCAATTTTTGAAACCAACGGAGAAAAAATAAAAAAAAATAGACCTTATTTTTGTACAAATATGAAATATTATTCCATTTTTTCTCTAGATCAGGGGTCTCCAAACTTTTCAATGTAAGGGCCACATTATATATTTCCCATATTTATGCGGGCCGGAGGAATAAAAAATGAAATTGCTATTTTGTATAACTAAGATAAAGGCATTGTCAAAGTACAGAGAAAAGAATATTGTACAGTGTTTGTGCTCCCTGAAACGGAAGCAGCGAAGCCCCACTCGCCCTCCATCCCCACAATATACAGTTATACACAACTGATTGGTTGTAATGCACAACACATACCTACCAGTATTAGTATCTGTGCGTCACACTATCGAGAGAGAGGAAAACTGACTCGGGTTGAGCGCCACCAGTCAGCAGCCCCAGTTTTGAATAATTCTGCGATGCCATTCGTACGATAATTATTTTTTCAAGGCCACCACACAGGGATTTGTTTGGAGGGCCGGATGAAATTATGTGGCGGGCCGGATGTGGCCCGCGGGCCATAGTTTGGAGACCCCTGCTCTAGATTGATGTTTCGCCACACACCATCAAATTAGGAAATGGGGGTAATGATAATGTATATATGTGTAGAGACTATATATAAAATATCAATGGCTTTCACTTGTTAAGTCATTGACATTTGGCATCGAGTTGCATTAAGTTGCTACTTAATGCAACTTTAAAGGGAAAGATCTGGGTTATAGTACCTTTCAGCCTCAACTTTCATTTCTTCCATTTCTTTCTTCCTTCGAACTTTTTCTTCTTTTTCACGGTCTGCTGCAATCAGTTTCTCTCGTTCAGCTGTGCGTTTCTTGATGGAGTATTCTGACAGGTGCTTAGTACGATCAAAGTCAACCTGGTGAATTGATAGCAATTAAATTTTTTAAAAGCCTATGGCTATCTACAGTATATATATTATATTTATATATATGCACACACACCAGTATAAATAATCCGTATATAAAAAGAAAAAATGTGTGTGTATATATATTTTAAACCTCTAATAATGTAAAATAACAACTTTTTAACAGAAAAACTTAATCTGAGTGCTTTCAAGCACAGTTGTGCTCATCAGAAACAATGGGAGAATGGGCATTCACCCATGGGTCCACTGTCCCATTCTCCCACTGTCTCTAACTTACATAATAAAAATTAATCTCACCTTGATATTAGTACTCCAAGCCTTGTCACCGTCCATGAATACCAGTTTTTTCCCCTGTAAAGCATGCATACACTTTGCAAATCCAATATATTCTTTGAACTGCACATATGCCTCAAACACCAAATCTTGTCCAAAACTGAAGGTATGGATGCCATTGATAGAAGCCGACATCTTCTTGCGGTACGAATCGCACATGGGAATGTCCACCACTCGAACTTCTCCATAGGTTGCCATTACTTTGCTTAATACATAGGGACTTGGCATGTTCATGTTTGTGTCATTGTAGTGAGCAAACCAACGGCACGGAAGGTCCTAGAAATCACCAACAATGAGGATTATTAGTACAGCGCATGCATCACATTACATGATCTTAAGTCATCTTCTAAGCAGTGCACAGTAGCTGTTAAAAAAAATATACTATTAGCTTTTATTATTAGATCTTTTGAGTTTCAATCACAGAAAGTCATTATCACTATGTTTCACTCTTTATAATTCACTAGTATAGACTGTATTATAATAATGCATATAGTTATGGTCATTGTACTTGAGAAAAGATAGTCATTGAAAGAGAATGGGTTTATTTCTCCTGTTCTTAGTGAACACAAGTACTGTACAAGATATATTTATAGTCTTTATGAGAATGTTGAATACGCTTCTACGGTACAAATCACTGCACTTAAATGATCACACAACCTAAACTTTATAACATGCTTAATGAGACATACCTTGATGTACCTTGACTCGTCTCTCTCACTGCTAAAATCAACAGGTCAACACAAGACAAACAGATTTATACTAGGGGTAAATGATGACATGAATCTGTCTTTCCTTTTTATTTCACAATCTTAAGATTCTTTTATACAAAATATTTATTTTTATATTTTACTTTACTGAACTTGACATCTGAATGGGTCTTAGAGTATGAAACAAGATCGACTGGTGTATGCCAGAGCTTGTACAAGAAACAGAACCATAAAACACTACTGAGCAAATGGCAATAAACAAATTTTTTAAACAAACTAAAAAGCCAAAGGCATAGAAAGAAAAGAAAATTCACAAACATTTACTCACTGCAAGAATAAATGTTATAACAATGTAATTCATATTGATAATGGGATCATTTTAGATAGATACCCTGAAAAGACATTGAAAAGTTCCAGGTATTGAATATCTATCTATCTATATCTATCTCCCTCTCTCTGATGTGATGGTATTTGTGCCTTTTTTACATTTTAGGTGCCATAGAACACCTTGAAAGTGAACAATATAAACAGTTCCAGAATAATCATAAATGCTATTAAACTTGTTATCGCATGAAATAATACATTTACTCACTTGAAAGTGAACAGTGTCGGGTCTTTCACCAGGCTTCATCTCATTCATGTGTTTGGCATCTCGGAAGAAACAGTCCCAATCATAGCGAGATGGGAAGGGAACTTTTGCCTCGGTAGCTCGAATCTTTAGCAAGTCGGAGAACCCACTCAACTTGATGCCCTGAAAGTAGTGAACAGTTGTGCAACACTGTGAAGGAAGCATGTAAAACAAAACATGGTTGCCTGATTAATAACAGTATTGAAAATGACAAACAAAACATGACTAGATTTATAACATTATTGAATTTTGTCTTGAACTGAGCAAACATGGAAGAATTCAAAATTTGTGTGTGTGAAAACAAAGTGGAAAAGGGAGAATAGGAGTTCGGTGTGTTTCAGAATGAGGACAAAATTCTCTCTCTCTCGAAGGAGAACTTTATGAATATTAAAAAAGCTACTAAGTACAGATAAGTTCCCAGATAGTGACCAGCTGGCCTTGCAAATAGTGTTCACTGAATGGTAATGTCTGCATTATCAATTATTAGCAACTGTGGCGTTATGTCCACACCAACGTCCATCTCTTTCCTCGACTCTTGTGTTGTAATGTTCTTCTCGGTGTGTCTTCACCAATGTTTATTGGATTTAGCTTTTTCTTACTCTTTAGCACCTACTCTTAGTATTTGACATGGTGGGTGATAATGATTAAAGAGTATGTATATTCCCATATTTGTGCACATGTATTTGTATAAAAAACTAAATGCTTAGTACTGTACATGCTTACCTTTTGATCAATTTTACTAATGACCTGTGGAAGATTCTTCTTATTTTCAATTTCAGCATCAAACCTTAAGAATTCTAATGTGCTCTTAGTCACTTTGATAACTGAAAATAATTCTGGAAGAATAGCTACTCGTAGCTTTTCCATTACCTGAAATTAAGAGGAAAATTAAAACAAACACTTTATTTCCATTTTTCCCCATTATGCAAGAACATAATCCAACAAAGATGTACTTACAATATGCAGGCTACCATACTACAAACCCTCTTTGCACATACAAAATACAGTATTTCAACCCTTGATATTGGGGTCAACTTTATTTAAGGATCTATACACAGTATTACATCTCAAGTGTTCCCAATGATATGTATTACTACATAGTATTACAGAAATATTATGTACCATTTAATTTATTTGGGTTCACTACAAGTCTTTACATAGCAGCAAGATAAGAAAAGCCAAGGGTGTATATAAATGTGAAATCTATACAAATAGACCATTTATAATTAAGTCTACTGTATACTTACATAAAAAAAAGTTCAGCTAGCAATGAAAGAGAGGAGGCCGCCGCCTCGATGTTCCAGACCAACCTCTAACAAATCTGGAACTATACTGGCACTAGCTAGGATTTCCCAAATTTCACAATGAAGCCAAAGTGGGCTAGAACACACAACCAAATCCCTGGCTTGCAAGCAGGAAACTTAACTAGGGGCCCATACCAATCACTAGTCAAAGTACTGTAGATTAGAACTCGAACCTTGTGAAGGTGTAGCTTTGGAGAACAATCAGATAACACAATACAAGTCTTGGGTGCTAAATTAAGATCAAACAGCAGAACCTGAAATTGGTAATTGAGGTGCCTCACTCTAAACTACAGGTATGTTCTGAGTGTGGGGGGGGGGGGGTTCATTATTGAGACAGTGACCACGGGTAGCACATGCAGCTCACAGCACTGCCGTGCAGTTTGAAGCTGGGAGACAATTAGACCAACATCAAGGGCTCAAGATTTTTCAACACTCTCCCTCTAAACATAAGTATAACTCGCCAATTTCTCGCAGCTAGAGGGAATTTGAAAAACACCCCCAAAGGGTTCCTGATAAACTAAGCTGCGATTCATACATCAAGCTGTGAGCACCTACATCTAAGAGCTTGGTTGACCAGGCAACCAGCCAGAAGGCTGCAGGGACGTTGATCCCCAGAACTACCACATGCTTTAACGCTTATAGGTTTCTAAAACTTTTCTCAAAGGGAGTTGGAGTGTTTGCAACTCCCCTTCAGTTTTTAGGGGTGGTTCACCTGTTGTGTGTTAATCTCTGATCCCTATGTGCTCCATCATCCCATACAAGGGACAAGATTCTGGTCCTTGCAACCAGTGGGCTGAAATACTGTAATCACAGGTTACTGGCAAATTGGGTTTGATCCTGTTGTGTCTGTGCAATAGGTTCTGTGAAGTTACTAACTGGGCAGTCCCAGAAACAAATTCATGAAAAGATATTAATAATTTCTGTAAATGACCATAACAATATTACTTCTAGTGTAATAATAACTAATACAGTATACTGTATAATAAAATCAGAACAAGGTGCAGTATTTAGATAGATTGATCAAGAAACAAAAAGATGAAAATGTAATGTTTAACTTATAATGTTTAGAGCTTTGAGATCATCAAGGTAAGGTGTGAGAAAGGGTCATCATTAACTTATAAATTTACTCCTGCCATTTAAAATACAGTATTAGGTAATTTTCCTTGTCAATTACTACCTTACTATTACCTTTATCTGGCTTAGTAATTACAATACAGTACAATATTTTTTACCCAATGCTAAATTTGACAACACTGATGTTGCATCTTAAGTTAAAGTTAAGTAAAGCTTGTATTTAAATTAAAAGTATCTTTCTATTATAGTCTACCAAACATTTCATAAATATATCCTGAATTATTATTTGTTTTACCTCCCAGTTGGAGATTGACTGGCCAGACTTGAGCTGTGGTAGTGTAACTGTGATACTAAGCCGTGCTATTGGCTTGAGATACAGGCCTGATGTTCGAGAGAGCTCCACACAGTCACTTGTATCTGTACAGTCTTGTACATTCTTCATTTGTTGAGATTTTTCCATTTTGTCTGCAAAAATAAGGTAAGGATATGTGACCAATACAAAGGAACATAGATGGAAACTAAGTACAAACTGTATTGTACCCAAATACACCAGAAACATTTGAAATTTTTTTTAAGCATCACAGAAGAAGAAAAATGGAATGCACTATAAAGTTATGAATGCAAATAGAAATGTCACTTATGTTTTATTTATTTTCAAAATTAACCGTTCAAAATACTATATTATTAAAATAGTATCTAATTAATAATGTAGCATATAAGAAGGCAATGAATGAGAAGTTGGGCAAATTGTCCAAAAGCACTGCTGCGACCCATCAAAATACAGTGCATGAGGGGACGTGTCTTGAAGACCAAGGTAAGTCAGCAGATGTTAGGAGAGGAAGTAGTAAGGATGTCATATAACCTGATACCAATTATGTTGAGTTATATTAGGTTAGGTTTTAAAATCAGTGCCAAAACCATTTCTTATTCATAGCAACAGAGTTCAAAAAGGTATCCAAGAGCAGATCTAATAAAGTAATCATCAGTACTGATACCACAATGCTAGCAAACATGCTTCAATGCAATTTTTGGGTTGAACATGTTGATATTGTTACATTTAATTCGTTCTTACACAGTTTAATTTAGGTATACTCGTTTTCTCTGAAACATGATTTGCAAACTGCTTTATAACCAGGTTCCCAATTATTGCTGGTTGAATAAGTACAAATAGTAAAGGTTTGGTGTCCAATCCTCATTTAAAACCAATGGCTTGAAGCCAGCCTGTGTGGCATAGGGGTGAACTGAGTAATGCATGTGCAGCACCACAGAAATTGTCAACATAGGGGGTCCATTTTGGGACCTACCCTTTTTGTCAGGTACATCAATGTCATAGATGAGAATAGTACAAACCACATCATCAAATTTGCAGATGACACAAAGATTTATGTTAAAGTGGGAAATGATAATGATATTAAAGCCTTACAGAGAGATCTACATGAACTCTACAAGTGGTCAGAAGTGGTCAGCATTGCTACTCTTTAAACAAACCTAACATAACCACATCTATATAGCCCTTGGGGTGCTTGCTTCTTTCCCTATTACCTATCTGCAAAGTTAGGAGTACTGTCACTCTGATACGTACATCTCCAAGAAAACTACAAGATACTTTCATGGATAAACTCCCTCCCAACAAACCATCTACTATTTGGTCTGTAGAGAGGTACAACGTGGGATGCTGCTGAAGATTTACATACATGACGAACACGCTCTACCTTCTTTCCAAGAATGTATGAGGCACTAGGAGCACTGCAACTCACTCCTAAGCAAGTTATGCCATATCCTATGTCACGCCTTTCCCTTCTTGGGAGGGGTGGGGGTGGGGGGGGGGGCACTATATGTGTGGACACCAGGTTACTTTTAACCCCGGCACCTAAGGCGAAGATCTCAGATTTAACCTCCACATTATTCTTAGAACTATGCCAGGTGTGATATTCAAGATTCTTCAAAAGTATATACAGATGGGTCACATACACTCTCACTCCAATCACCTACAGCTGCGGCATACTGTACTTTGATTCGCTTTCCTTCTGTCAAAATTGGAAACTCTCCTCTGGTCATTCCAGCCTAGCTGGGAAACCATGCGCCATTTATTATGCTCTTATACATCAAGTCACTTGCCCCCGAGATGTGGTGATGTTTGTAGACTCCAAGACAGCTCTTCTCCTTGTCACTTTTTGCAGACCATAAAGTTTTGGGCAACTTGTCAGGAACATCCGGAGTGCCTTAGACATTACCACAAAACGGGTTGGCATCTTCACCATCAGTGGGTCCCCTCTTATGTAAGAATCAGAGGGAACAAAACTGCAGATTGAGCAGCAGCCAAAGTACATTCATTAACCTCTCTAGACACCCTCCCTCTAGACGAAAATGAAAGACTGCCACCTCGCAAGAAAGCTTGTTCTTCTCTTTAACAGTCTGAGTTACAACCTCTACTTCAGACATGAAGGTTACCAGCCTTCATTCTGATGCATAAACCTCCATTCTGATGTATTTCACAGCCCATGATCCAACACCACACCCAAATATTTAATGTTTGTCCTGCATGGTTATGCATAGGCCATACATACCTCCCAAGCTATCTCCTCTGTCATCGGATGACTGCCTCTCCTACCTGCTGGTGGTGCCCACAGTAAGAAGCAAACACAGTACACTTCCACCTTTACTGCCCATGTTTTTACTCTGCTAAAACTTACCTTCGCACTAACCCGCTTAACCTTCATATCCCCCCCCCCTCGCACTTCGTGACGAAGAAACACTACGCAGCCCTACAAAACATGTTTAGCTTCATAAATCTCTACAAGACTACATCAACGTTTATGAGGTGTGACTTTAACTATCCTGGTGACTTGTATTCCTCCACTAGGGGACTATACTTACTGTCTTCTCCAAATTCACACTGACAGGGCACATAGGAGTTAGCCCCCCTCACTGCTCTTAATAACAATAATAACAATAATAACAACAACAATAACCAAACAACAATATTCCTAATGAAAATAAGGAATAAAAGTTTGTTTTATAGTGTGCACAAGACACAGTATGCGACATCACTAACATTTCTAATGTCTGCACACTTATTGGATGCTCCTGTCCCATCTGCCTGTATATTGGTATAAAAGTTACATTGTACCCAATATGGTCTATCAATAAATCTTAAAACCTACAAAAACTTACCAACCTAACCTAACTCAAATGACCCTAAACTATGCCAATACATTAGAAAACAAGCCTTGTCAAAATATGTCAAAATATGACATCTGACCATATCCCTTATGTGTAGATATTCTCTTTACTTACAAGCATATTCCTCATAACATGAAATACAAGTACAGCAGACTATATCAGCGAGTATGACGTGCTTTTCACCTGTGTGATGCTATACTGATTGTCTACATATCTTTATCTCGAAACCTGTTTTTAGGTCAGCATCCAGCCTTCACCTGGTTGGTATCCAAAGCACAATACATATTAGTTAGTATTTAAGTCATAAGTGGCAGCCAACCACTCCACTGCCTGGTCAATCTGGTTTCTCCAGTTCATATACTCCAGATATACTTCAAAAGAGTATATCAAATATATCTGACATTCTCTACAGAAGAGTATATCAAATTTCTGAATTATAACTATAAAAATAAAAAAAATAAAAACTTTAGTGCTGGAGGATCTGGAGGGACTGGTGTTTGTGTTCAAATATACGTAAATTATACTAAATCAGACGACCGTAGAGCCTAAGCAGCCTTGACTAAGATAATAGCCGACCCTCAATGCTATACCTGGCCGAGTGAATCTGGGAGAGGTAAATAAGCGATGACTGATGACAAGCCCTGCTGGAATTTGGGTCTTCTTGTTTACTTGCAGCAGCGCCGCCCTTGGCCACCCACCAAACTACTCCATGCCGCCAAATTCAAAATCACTCACCGATTGTATTCTCAGTTTTTTCATTATCTATTGATCTTTCTGCATGTCTGTATGTATGTGTGTGCAAAGCATTACCAATTGTAATGGTTTTGTGGAACGGAATTTAATTTAGTCTGCCCTAATCAGTCAGTGTCCAAATTTTCTCAATGTTAATACTGGTATGTATAAACTTTACCTAGTTTTAAGTTACAATGTTGCACAACAGTTTAAGAAAAAACTCTGATAGGGAGAATTACAATGTCTCATAACAATATTATAATCATATATTATCTGTGTGTTCAATGAGGCTTTTTCTTTCATCTTTTATACCTATTCTCCTACTGCTTAATCCTTTTGACCATTCTAAGCTAGTCTATACTTGTTTCTGGTTAATTCTTTCCCAGGGGATGGGTGATCAGGATCCAGTGGTGGCCTCCACCCTCGTGTCTATTTCTCTTAGTATGGTGTTGACAACTGCCTTGGTCGGCCGAAACGTTCAGCTCCCTTTCCCATTTCTCTGTGGATTTTCCGCATACAAATGATCAATGTTTCGTGGTCGTCAATTGCATATGCATATGCATATATATATATATATATATATATATATATATATATATATATATATATATATATGTCGTACCTAGTAGCCAGAACTCACTTCTCAGCCTACTTAGCAAGGCCCGATTTGCCTAATAAGCCTATTTTCATGAATTAATGTTTTTTCGTCTACCTAACCTACCTAACCTAACCTAACCTAACGTTTTCGGCTACCTAACCTAATCTAACCTGTAAAGATAGGTTAGGTTAGGTTAGGTAGGGTTGGTTAGGTTCGGTCATATATCTACGTTAATTTTAACACCAATAAAAAAAATTGACCTCATACATAATGAAATAGGTAGCTTTATCATTTCATAAGAAAAAAATTAGAGAAAATATATTCATTCAGTAAAACTTGGCTTATTAGGCAAATCGGGCCTTGCATAGTTGGCTGAGAAGTGAGTTCTGGCTACTAGGTACGACATATATATATATATATATATATATATATATATATATATATATATATATATATACATATACATATATACATATATATATATATATATATATATATATATATATATATATATATATATATATATATATATATATATCGCGTATCTACCTATATTTACCTGTAGTCTACCATCTTTAGTAGCACCCACGTGACCAAGAAACCAGCAGCTTCTCACAAAGTTACCGCATTATTTCTAACGATTTCTTCCAATAACTTTTGAACTGTAGTGCTATCTTAGTATATACGGCACTGTATGGCTAAGAGAGGTGTGTGATTTCATGGGTGAAAATGTATCTCCTTTTGTATAGTAAAGTGTGGCTAGAGAAGCATAAAGTTTTTGCCCCTTGTTAATACTATATTAAACCTTTAAAAGAAGTGGTATGGATTAATATATATAGTAGAGGATTTCAATTTTGGTTTAGCTTGAAATCAGTCCTTATGGCTTGTTTGTAGTGTTATTCCTGATAGTTTTTTTTATATACTGTATACCTTTATGCAACCCGTCCTCGACTCAAGTCTATTACATCCAGCAGTCGATCCCAGATACATTCATAAATTTTAACATACTGTACTTTTCATTCAAAATGAGAATTTTCTCAAATATAAATTATTATTATAATTTAGCATCATATTGTGCATATATAGGCATAGGTTAGGTGTTTAGGTTCTATTGGCGATTATTTGTATTTGTAGTACGTGGGTAAAGCATTTATAGAATTGTGGTTCGAACAGAGGACATGAACGAAGCACTTGTTCCGGAAGTGTTCGGATGTCATCAGTTGTGAGTCGTGTTTAAAACGCTTTTCATTCATAAACAGGGGGTTGGGCAGCTGGATTAACGAGCGTGGGTCTTTGTATGCGAGAACGACACTCAATAGTGTACTAGTAATAAAATATTGCACTGTATTGATCATATATTGTAAATGACATCATTATACAGTGTTTAAGAAGTGCTAGAGTTATAGGGGTGCTTAATTATATAATCTCATTCATATATCTCATACCATTACATATATATATCTATGTTTCAATAGGAGTACATAAAGCACACGGAATTTGGGTCTGTGATCGACCAACACCATTTTTTTTATATCCTTAATTAGGGTCAAAATGCAGCCAAAGAATAGGATGATGATATTGCATTTTAAACTGCAATCATAGTAAGAAAAAACACCTTCCAGCTGTCTCAATTTTCAATTAGAACATATGGCGCAAGCGGCCAAAAATCAAGCTGTGTTTTCCCCAAGACAAATTGTTAAGTACAAGCAATAATCATAACTATGCAACATATTTATATACTGTATATATATATGTTTGAAGTTGGGAGAAGGTTTCTCATTTTTTATTACTTTTTAATACAAACATCAGTTCTTTCTAAATAAAGAGTACCATGAAAAAAACATTAAAAACAATAACTAAATAGTAAAATAATTAGCTTCTACCAAATTAATAACATTACAGTAGTTTGATGACGAAAAGGACCCTAGAGTCAATTTCCACCACGCACTGAAAGTTGCTTTCGCAGTGCCCATGAGGGTACTGCGAGAGTCAATTACTGTACAACCACAAAGGAGGATTGACAAAGTTATTACCTATTGCTTATAACATCCCTCCTCTCCAGGACACCTGACGATGCCGTAACAGCAGCATCAGCATCATTCTTGCTCTCTGCTAAAGAGGATCCTGGGTTGGGATCGAAATATAGTATCTCCGTTTCTGCATGTTTCCAAAATTGTGAGTTATTATTTTCCTTGATTAGTCAACTATTGCACTGCGCTCTCATTTTCATAACATTATTAGTATAAATTCTGATAAACTTCATAGTGCAGCAGTGAAAATGTTTTTATGTAAGTAATCCTAGATAAAACAGAGATAGCAACTGAATTTGAACTATAGGCTTTAGTAAGAGTGCATTTATGTAGAACATTTAACTTTTGAATTTTATGTTAAGCTTAGAATGCTTGTTTAAGATATATTAAACCTGAATGAATGAATAGTAACCCAACCTACAAAAATGTCTATTGCAAACACTATTAAGAAATTAGAAGCCTTATACTGTACCGAACGCAAGTACAGTACTGTATTAGTTGAAGGTCAATGTTTGTATATCAGAACGATTAGTTTCATCTTTACGAAATAAATCTGTAATGAATTAATATTGTATAGATTTAAAAAATGGATAATACAAAAATGTTTCATACAGTAGCACTGTATCAAGTTTTAAATTCATGGGTCAAAGTCAAGGCACAAAAAAAGGTAGGGCACAGATGTCTTACAAACACATTAATGTATATCATAGATATTTTAACAATGAAATATTTTGTACATGTAATATACTTTCCTTCATTTAGAACAGTATTTGTATTTTTGACAAAAATTGTTTTAATTTAAATATCTTTAAACCAAAACAAATTTTTTTGCCAGAAATATGTACTATATTATCAATAATTTTTATTTAAAATTCAGTGCTTAAATGACTTTGGGTAAGAGATAAGTTGTTCATAGTTAACCATGCAGGCAATACAACTGCTTTAAGTGTTTCTTAAGAGTACTGAACACTTTATGGCATTTGAGATATCTAGGGAATATTTAACAAATGACACCCCTCAAGGAAGAACAGTTCCAGACATAATAAGATGGCAAGATATGGAGAGAATAAGCAAATTGGGCTATCCTGCAAGAAAGTAATTTCATGGATAAAGGGCAGGAATTACTGACAAGTGTTGTAAGAAACACCAGTTAAAGACACCTGCACATCATTCACGTTGGGCAGATTGTTCTACTCCTCCAAGTTCACAAAAGGGCCTCCAAATGCCTTCTCACTATGGATGCAGGAGTACCTTAAATACCTTCTTGTCCTCTCAAAGTCTTTGGTAAAATGACACCCCAGCAAGGGTAAGGCTTTATTACAGATAATTCATTTGCTGAAGAGTTTCTTTAAATCTGAAAAAGTTACCAAGCGAAATGTTGTTGACACTAAATATTTACCCTACTGCAAATCCATTCAATAAAGAAAATTCCTGTTACTTTCACACTTCAGCACCACCCAAAAGTTTATCACATTCCCTAACACTTCATATTGCTGTACAGTATTCACTTGAAGACTATTTTTTAGCCAGTATCTTAAGCCCTTTCTCATAATTCTACCTGTCAATGCCACAACCCCCAATTTTATTTCAGACTATTCATTTAAGCACTAATTCTCACACCAGCTCTTACCTCCACCATAGAGCTTGCACACACAGGTATTCACACAGGTCTAACAATCTACCTAAGGCCATTTGCATTTATTGTGCACTTCATTTAAATTTTTACAATGTTTTTTCACAAGTTGTACGAGATGCTAAAAATATCCTGAATGAATGAATACAATTCCTTTATTATGTCTCTGATACAAAATTTGGTAATACTGTACTTTATTATGAAATACATGAATAAGTACATTACATTATTATATTTAGATTAATATTTATTAATTTAAATAATTTAGTTAAGATATTAATTATAAATATAAATACATAATTATATGATGTTCAATTGTAGAAATGCCTTGAGATGATATTACTGTCTCAACATTCTAAAGGAAAATGATGTAATAGATACAGGATAAACATTCATCTAATCATTGCAGTGACATTTAATGACTCAAGTAAGTAATTATTATAAGAATGTGCTAAGCCTGTATGTCAATACTGTATAGCACTGTGTGTCACAGAAGAATCGAGAATTGTTAGATACCATGTTAAAGGAGTCAGATTCATGAAGGATTTTGTTGAGGGACACATGATGATGTAAAGAAACCAATTTGGAAACCAAAATTTCCGATCCTAAAAATCAGAACATACTAAAAACAAAAGAGGCGAATGACTATTAATGGAATAAGGCAGTTCCAACACCAAGGTGCAGCTTTCTATTCCATTAAGTGCTCATGAGTAAGTCTTGTGTGGCCAATACATAAACTAGCCAGAGACATTTCCCAACTTCCTATTTCAGTGACTGGAAAAAGGCCATGGGGAAAAGAACATAAATGTAGTACTGTACACGTTTTGTTATTCATAGTAACTAACCATCTCTCTCCACTGGTTGCCAATTGCGTTATCAATGATAGGGCAGATTTATATCTCAAGTAAAACTCTTAGGATTTAACCATTTCCATTTGTACATGGGAGGGAAGTTGCATGCAAATCCTTCTAACCAACCAAACACTGGGAACAGCACATCCGCTTATATGTAGTTCCAGTCTTACATTACTTTTTAAGTAATATTTGAAATTTTGCCATGAGACATAGTAATATATATATATATACAACAATTATAGAAAAATTACATGACGCCATTCAGTACTGCTGTATATTTTATTGTAATCTAAAAATACAATACTGTATCGACATAAAACCTATTAAACACTTATGATTTTAATCTCTGATTTTATCAATTCTTGATTTCTGAAGAATTTGTCCTTTACTGTAAACATTTAAAGTTTTGTTCACATCTTGAGATTCTAATCTGTTCTATAACAAATGTTTCTTAATTTTACTTTTCATTTCTACCATATGTCTTGTAATACAGTATAATAGACAAACTCTTGAATCCTTATTGTTACTATTTTACTATGTATAACTGGTGTTAATTCACACACTCACTTCTAACACTGAAAATATTTTGAGAATGGTAGATAATTATGTTAAATTGGTGCAATGTTCAATGTAAAATTATAAATATCATAAAATACTGCAATACAGAAATGTAAGAGGAAGAATTTTGATATTAAATAATATATATATAATCATCTTGTGACCTTTACCCATATTTTAGCAGAAAGGAAGGAACAAAACTTGTTCAACATTATAGCTTCCTACTTTAGGCCACCATATAGCTCTGTAAAAAAAAAATAATAAGGGCTCAATTTTTGGGGATTACAAAAGGATTAATTACCACTGGATTTATTTTGTGTGAAAAGATAAGAATATGAGAGAAGTAAACACAGAGGAAAGTTGTAGGAGTAAAGCAACATGATAAAAATAATACATACACGGGTAAGAACCGCACTACAGAAAATGGGAAACGGAAGTTTTAAAAACTGTGGGAGAGTTTATAGCAGTGTGCCATAAAGGTAAGCACTGCACAGTGATGTGTTAATTATGTAGAATAATTGCTTATAGAGCCATCTAAAGAACCGAGATATATATTCAAATTGAACATTTAATCTTTTTGCCATTTTTGCATTAATATTTTTATTAATGCAAATGAAAGAACACACAATTCCCATACATTTATACCAAAATATCACACAAAAATTAAATTATGAGCTTGACTGAAAAGACAAGTTCTTCTGTTGAAACCAGGTTCTACTTGGGTAGAACAACACCTAACTGTACTGTACCTTGTTTTAGGCAAAAAGAAAAATATTTATGTTCAGGAAATTGATTTCAGTATCGAGTGGTAAAATTACAAAATTAGCACATGGTTAAATTATCTTGCATTTAGCATCTACATATTGTACCTCATGCTTTTGTGCTGTCAAAAATCATTACACAGAATTAGCACTGACTGATTTTACCTATATGCACTCTATTACGACTCATTATATAGCACCTTCCAATGATGCTGCTTATTTTGACTAATTATAGAGAATATATGTAAACTGCACACCACCAGTGACCACTTAAAATTAATCGGCAAATCAAAATAAGAATCGGCTCCTGTTCATGCATATTATGACCTATGATCACCCAAATGAACAGCTTACACTTTATCCAGTGATTGTGACACAACATATCCGTATCAAATAATATGAAAGGATTATTTAGTTTTTAAATCACAGAGATTACGATGCAACATGCATGACGGGAGAACAAATCACCAACAATAAATTTGTGCCGTGTTATAAGTCTCATACCCAACATTATTATAACAAACTAATATACAATATATTGTATTTAAATATAAAGCACGAAAAAGAAGAAATTATATGATTTTATACACACACACACATACGCACACACAAACAAAAAATATCCCAGCTTAGCTGGAGCTGCAAACTCTCTAGTCACAGGTGAATCATTTTAGTATATAGTCCTGTGCAGCTTCAAAACTATTCCCAAGAAAAACGCAAATTATTTGCAACAACATGAACTTTTGCATTATAATTTGCTCTATTATATAACCAAGACAATCTTACCTTAACAATAAAGAGCAAATATGAACAAAATATATGTATAATACTTATTTCACCCGGTCTCTTAACCACAAATTCCTCTAATCTATGAACTGTATGTTAAGTGGAATGTTGTGATTTGGGTGACAAATATATGCCACATGCCTCAAGTTTAAATAAAGTACTGTGTAATTTGCCAAAAATGAAATGTTGGCAAATGTACAGTACGGGGAGAGTAGATAATATTTATCCATTATCACGTCTTAGTTGGGAATGTTGAAATATGGTGGCCAATACATCATGTTAAATAGTAAAAACAACAAACTATATTCCACAAAATCTTATATTCTGACAGGGAAAAATCTCTGCCTCAATTTGTTCTTAGGTATAAAGCAAATTGTTCCTAAAAAAAGAACAGTAGCCATAAAAGTACAATTTCTTTTCTACTATTAAAATTTTCCATTACAAAAATAGACATTCTACTAAGTACTAGCTTCTGAGAATGGACTCAAACTAACAGTCTATATATATGGCATTAAATATCGGTTGTCTTCCAAGTCTTACTGCTCACAATGAATGGTATTCTTCATATAATACAAGAATAAAATTAAAAACAAAAGTACCATTTTGGAAATGTAAAAGAATTATTTGCACATACACAGGCTGTACTTTATACTATACCATAAAAATGTTGTATATGAATATATCATTAAATTCTCTTCATTTCATAACAAATCTAAATCATGTGATGATAATCCCACTCAAATTAAAAAAAAATAAAAACTTGCAGAAATGATATTCACCAATCACACAGTTTCAAGTACACTGCAATATTTCAGAGATGGGGCAACTTAATCCTTTTCTATCTACAAGTCCCAGTTTTAAAGAAGCATTACAAAAATTAGACTTTTATGACTCGACTGAAATAGCTTGCTAATCCTGCTGTTTCCTGCATGCTGGATCTTCACAACATTGGAAGTTAACTTTAAATTTAAGCAAAAATTTTAAATTTATAACCAATTCTATTTACAATTCCATAATAACCAAAGGAAATACTAAAAATATTCACATAATCACTGTTCCAGATCAAGTTACAAAATAAAGTCAACTTCAATTAACCAAATTTCAACAGTAAATTATATCAATTTTGACATGAATTTCTTATATAAATTTTGTGCCACATTAAGAAACGTTGCAGTAATGAACATGCTTGATGGTCATACCTTTGGTTATCTAATTGTAAAATCTAATTATGGCTCTATTGCCATTATTCATGTTAATGAGAAATGTGTAAATGTAGACAAGTAGTGACTTTAATCTGCATTCATAGATCTGATAACAATGTCTAATGCTTGCATGTGAAATGGATGTTTACTTCAAGAACACTGAGGTATAATTAAGAAGGCAGAAATATGGTGAATGAGCAATTTCAGTACTGCACAGACATGCTTAATAAAACAAAACATACCATCTCGCTAATATACACAAATCTTGATTTATTTAAATGAATTCTTGCTCTACTTCTAGCCTACTGATTGAGATGGACTCTTCTTATTACCTTCATATGCAATATCCTGTATATCCAGGTACTGCATATATTGCCAGATCTTCACAGCATCAAAATAAATCACCAAAGAGCCCTTGGATAACAAATTTAAATGTAAAAATGGTAAAACCTTTTTCTTTTACAAGTCTGTTACCTAATCCCCCTTCGCAAGCATATTATGCTCCCAACACATGTATATTTGATGCGTTCCTCTCAGTGATGTAGTGTGGAAAGATAAAACAAATATGTTCCATTCAGGCAAGGAGCTAAACCCTGACTCATCTTTATCTATCCTTAAGCAATTTGTAGCGTTTTGTGGCACGTCCACAAAACAGGCCACCAACAAAGATGACTCCAATTAGAGTGATCAACACCAGCAGGAGGTAGTTCCTCTCAGGCGAGCTGGAAACGTGTACCACCAGCTCCCCAATTGTCTTAACATTCGTCAGCTGTTGAGAAGAAAAACTCACTGTACAACAAAAGTAAACAATTCTGATCACACCTTAAGTGCCTTGACCAAATCTATCCCAAATTAGGTCCAAGAGAAATTGATATAATATTATACTGTACTTACTTTCATAGCAGCACTGTACATCTCTCGGCGTTGTCTCAGCTTCTCACGACATTCCGTTTTCAGACCATTTGGATTTCGCTCTAGGACATCCAACAAGCATGACAGATCTGTCGGTAAAATTATACGTACTTTATTACTACAGTTACTTAGCAACATGTGAATTAATGCAGATGATGAGTCACAATAATGTTGCTTACGACATGAAGACTTAACCATACACCAGAAAGAGAAGAGACGACAACATTTCGGTCCGTCCTGGACCACAATCGCCTTTATAATGGTCCTGGATGGACTGAACCGTCATTGTTTCCTCATTTTCTGGTGTGGTTAAGTGTTCATGTGAATTATTACTTTTAATAAAAATTTGGTTTTGTGAGTGACACCCTATTTCTTCTCAAGATAACATTTTTCTCTTTATTGGCCAAGCAGGCAACCCTCTACAACAGAGATTTTCAACCTTTTTAAACTTTTGGCATACTGAAAAGGTGCAGAAATTGTTAAAACACACCATAATTTTTTTTAGGGAGATTATATATATATAGTATACAGTATATATATAAACACTTTGATCCGGGCATGACGCAATGCTGCGTCATCCACTAAAATAATCGCCAAAAATCAGGTTTTTATCCGATTTTTTTGGGACTGGTTTTAAAATGCGTGCCTATCGTGATGGAGCAACCTCAGTGCAGCAGGTAACTGTCAACAAGCCGAATGCAATCTGTGACTACAATACAAACATGAAAGGTGTTGATCACTTTGACCAAAGTATCTAATTTTATCACTTCACAAGGAAAACTCACAAATGGACGAGGAAAATTACCTTCTATTTTGTGCAAATGGCTATCTACAATGCTTATGTGATGTACAACTACTACACAACAGATAGAAGGACTCTACTAAACATATGTGGGCAGGAATTGGGAGTGTAGCTGGAAAGCGTCTGGGCGCTCACTCGCGGCTAACGCGTGGCCCGTCTTCAACTCGTCGGTGGGTGGAGCGTGACCAGGTTTTTTATTTTATATGCTAATATTCCTCTAGAGAATTTTATTGCGAACCGATTGATACCAAAATGAAAGACCTAGGACGAAAATTGAGGTGACCAAAGTGAAAAGAGTGAACACATTTTATCGCTTTTCCTCGCTCCTTGGTAACTCGTTCGCACTTTCTCTGTTTGCTGCGGGTAATTAGCTGGGCTTTTGGAGTTTGTATGCATTTAGTGCTGTAGAGAATTCTATTGTGAACACAATGATACTAAATTTAATCTCGTAGGACGAGAATTGAGGTGACAAAGTTGAAGAGAGTATACACTTTTCAGAATTATCGCGCGCTCCCGTGAAACGCTGGGACCCACATCGCATAGTTGAGGGGTGGCGCGGCGGGTGCGTCAAAGTGTTAAGATTGTTTAAACATTTAATGGCTAAAATTCTACTCACATATATATTTTTTTTAATATTGATTATGGATTTCAAAAGATTGGTTTTAAGAATTACTGTTCATGTCTTATTATTCTAATTTTTTTTTTACCTTCCCTCAAACTCCCGAGCCACACCTGGGGGCCCTTCACAGCACACTTGGTTGAAAATGCTGCTCTACAAGGTGGAGGAGAAACTGTGTTAAAAAATCAACCCACTCCAAAAGTGAAATGACCAAAAGGTAGAAAAGTTGCAAAACACCATTTTTCTTCACGTATTGTTTAAAGATCACCAAATCTGCTACCAGAGTGCCAACAAACAACTCGTTCCCTATTCCCCTCCTTGTCACAGATATCAGGTCAGGTTACATGAGGCTCCTGCCAGACACACACTGGACAAGAGTAGGTGTCTCACTGTCTCACCTGGCACCCTTTATTTGATAGACGGCTTTTGCTGAGGCCACTTCATACATTTAAGTTGGCACGGCTGCCTTTGGACCTAGTCCACACATTTTAGGTCATGCCTAGCACATTTTACAAACATGTATGCTTGACACTTTGAATGTCTCTTGCTACTTTAGTCTGGTTTAGCTCTTGTTTCAGGGATACCTTCCATGATGCTGCTAACATCACCATTAACATCAAAAGTTTATCTTCTCTGAAATTTTTGAGTGTGTTCTTTTTTGTATCTTACCCTGCCATGAATAGCAATTTCAGACTTTAAACTGCCAAATGAAGGCCTGTTGAGAGGAAGATATAGTTAGTTTAAGGTTTCTTCAGCATTACCAGATGATTTTATCATTCCTGAGGTTTGGCACAAGTTCCTGGGTCCTGCGGTCAGGGTTTCATCTGTCACCGGTACACTAATCCCCTTAATTTTTAATTACATGTTTCTTCAGTTTCTTGTATAATCTGTGTTTTATATCTTACAGAAATATGTTGTTTTGCCACTATAAGGCATCAAGGTGAATAAGCTCCGAGAGCCACTGAGAGGGGCCAACCGAGAAATACACCGCTGAGTGTAATGAAATCCCCCTTCCTGGGTGGCTCCAGTGGCTGCCCATTACCACCCTCCTATGCTGCTCTTCTTTCTAGTGTCAGGATGTTTGTTTTGGCTTAGGAGTCAGATGGGTGTTTGGCCAGAGCCCTGTGTGACCTGGACCCCAACCTGGTTAAAGTAATACATGCCAACTGCTAATGGCTACAATATGAAAACAAATTAATTACTAAAATGAATACACATTATTTTAAGAGCCAAACTTACTTTATATGTGCTAGTGATTTTATTCAGAATCACATCCAAAACATATACAAATGCAGTACCAACATGCTCTCATAAATCAAAAGAAGCTTCAACTGAAGTATTAATAATAAGAACAAACTTGATTCAGCCCATTTGTCTCAGTAGATCAGACAATTTAATGACTGATTAATACGCATAGGTCTACACATACTTTCCAAAGAAGATCTAAAAACTACAGTATTTTCAGACAGTCTTAAAAATATCCTTATCTGAAACAATAGAAATAAGTTAATTTGACAAATTACTTACGATGACCCTTTTCCTTGCCGTCACAATATTTACTATCGTCTATGCCACATGCTTCATTGAGAACAGGATCTACGTGGATATCAGCTCGCTGAGTTTCAATTATGTGTGCTACATAAACTTTACATTCTTCAGATTTGAGCTTGCTGGCATCAAAATTTAGCTTCAAACACTCCAGCATGTGCCCTTCAGTATCATCGAGGTGGTCCGAACACAAGACCTTCATCTGAAGAAGAAAAATACCTGCTTTATGAAGTTCAATCTAAAACCAGTAGATGACTACGTGGAAAGCAAACAAGAACTTGCATTTAAAATGACTGCCCTTTATGGTGCAAAAGGAATACCAAAGTTCAGTAAAAAAATTTCTGTATTTCTTTCAGAAAAAATACAAACAAAATTCTAATCCTTTTAGTTTGGCTGATTGGGATGGAATATGAAGTCAACATTTGTTCGAGGGATAATTTTCACGTTAACTATTTTTTATAGCTTAAGCATCTGTAATATCTTCCAGGTCTATAAAAGTCCTCGGAATTGTGCATGCCATCAATGGTTCCTAGCGTTGGCATCAGTAAATGGATGGTGAAGCACGTAACGTAGTGCCTATCTTTTATCAAGGCCCAGGAAGGAAACTAAGGCTTTCAGGAGTTTTTTCCATTACAGCAATCAATTGCTATGGGTCTCTTAGTGTTGAATGAGGACCATAAGGACTCTTTAGAACTGGAATATTATGGGGCACATCTAGTCTTCCACAGGCAGGTGCACCATTAGACTATCGCTTGAGGGCAATGGAAAAAGTTTCAGGATTAATGGAGTGCATGGAGGCAATGTGGATGGATGATGGGAACTCTGTGCATGGTCAACTGTGGTGGGTAATGGGAGTGGATGGTGTGCACGAGTGGATGATGGAAGGCCTGGTACAACTTTCAAAAGCTTAGCAATACCTTTGGAAATTGCACCTTTTGAGCTCGAGGAGTGATTGAGGGGAACCCCTCTAAGAAAAATACAGATTTGAGTGTAATGATTTTTTTTTTTTTTTTTAGGATGGTCCTCAATGGCTCCCCACAGCTTACAGCACTGGTACTGCCGAGCCACATTCATTATACTGTATCAGTTTCCCGTTTCTACACCTGCCCACATGCAACAAGTAAGCTAAGATTCTTACATCATTTTTACACTTGTCTTGCAGCATGGGATCCATCTTATAGTTGAGAGCAGCAGTGCGTGCAAGGGACATGATTTGGATCTTGCACGTTGAGCTCAATTTGTGGTCAGGTAGCTGCTTCTGCAAGATATAATTATAAGTTCATTAAAGTTATTGTAAATATTGTTAGCAATTTAAAAATATGTAAATAACATGTACTGTATTTGAACAAAAAAAAATAAAATTGGCATTTAAACAAAATAAAATTGAAAGGCTAATTTATTCATATTTACTAACTTGTAAAAATCTGTTGAATCCCTAGCATTTTGATGTGATGAAAAAATTTACTTTTTTGTTTTCTCATAATCTCAATCTCTCTCTCTCTCAAAATAAATAAATATATATATATATATATATATATAGCAATTTAAAAATATGGGGAATATATGGAATATATGGAAAGAGGGGAAATGCCTGTTGCGTCTTGGGCACTAGTCCAACTTCAGAGGAATTTGAAGAAGTGTTTGACTTGCAACAATGATCGAACCCGTCTGTGACATTCATCAATGTTTCCCATTGTTGTGTTCTTCAAGAGATCCATAACCTTTAAGCACCTTTTTGCATTATTATTTTTGTATCAACCCATGTATATCTTGTAACCATCAAATGCATAATAAAGCACAAAAAATATTCAAGGAAGGGGGTGGTAGGAGAAAAGCACACAGAAACTGTATTGGAGGGGATCTAAACATTCCCTCTAATGCGTTATGCGTGGTTTCCTCCGAGGCTATGGGTCCCCCTTCTTCCAGCTAGAGGTGGTACTCCCTTCATATATATTATATATATATATATATATATATATATATATATATATATATATATATATATATATATATATATATATATATATATATATATATATATATATATATATGTCGTACCTAGTAGCCAGAACTCACTTCTCAGCCTACTATGCAAGGCCCGATTTGCCTAGTAAGCCAAGTTTTCATGAATTAATTGCTTTTCGACTACCTAACCTACCTAACCTAACCTAACCTAACTTTTTCGGCTACCTAACCTAACCTAACCTATAAAGATAGGTTTGGTTAGGTTAGGTAGGGTTGGTTAGGTTCGGTCATATATCTACGTTAATTTGAACTCCAATAAAAACAAATTGACATCTTACATAATGAAATGGGTTGCTTTATCATTTCATAAGAAAAAAATTAGAGAAAATATATTAATTCATGAAAACTTGGCTTATTAGGCAAATCGGGCCTTGCATTGTAGGCTGAAAAGTGAGTTCTGGCTACTAGGTACGACATATATATATATATATATATATATATATATATATATATATATAAATATAAATATATATATATATATATATATATGTCGTACCTAATAGCCAGAACGCACTTCTCGGCCAACTATGCATGGCCCAATTTGCCTAATAAGCCAAGTTTTCATGAATTAATGTTTTTTCGACTACCTAACCTACCTAACCTAACCTAACTTTTTCTGCTACCTAACCTAACCTAACCGATAGAGATAGGTTAGGTTAGGTTAGGTAGGGTTGGTTAGGTTCGGTCATATATCTACATTAATTTTAACTCCAATAACAAAAATTGACCTCATACATAATGAAAATGGGTAGCTTTATCATTTCATAAGAAAAAAATTAGAAAAAATATATTAATTCAGGAAAACTTGGCTTATTAGGCAAATCGGGCCTTGCATAGTAGGCTCAGAAGTGCGTTCTGGCTATTAGGTACGACATATATATATATATATGTCGTACCTAGTAGCCAGAATGCACTTCTAGGCCTACTATGCAAGGCCCAGTTTGCCTAATAAGCCAAGTTTTCATGAATTAATTGTTTTTCGACTACCTAACCTACCTAACCTAACCTAACCTAACTTTTTCGGCTACCTAACCTAACCGAACCTATAGAGATAGGTTAGGTTAGGTTAGGTAGGGTTGGTTAGGTTCGGTCATATACCTACGTTAATTTTAACTCCAATAACAAAAAATTGATCTTATACATAATGAAATGAGTAGCTTTATTATTTCATAAGAAAAAAATTAGAGAAAATATAATAATTCATGAAAACTTGGCTTATTAGGCAAATTGGGCCTTGCATAGTAGGCTGAGAAGTGCGTTCTGGCTACTAGGTACGACATATATATATATATATATATATATATATATATATATATATATATATATATATATATATATATATATATATATATATATATATAAAAATAAAGATAAAGACAGACTATTTAACAAAAGGGGACGCACCAGGGGACACAGGTGGAAATTGAGTGCCCAAATGAGCTATAGAGACGTTAGAAAGAATTTGTTCAGTGTCAGAGTAGTAGACAAATGGAATGCATTAGGTAGTGATGTGGTGGAGGCTGACTCCATACACAGCTTTAAGTGTAGATATGATAAGAGCTCAGTAGGCTCAGGAACCTGTACATTAGTTGATTGACCGTTGAGAGGCAGGACCAAAGAGCCAGAGCTCAACCCCCGCAAGCACAACTAGGTAAGTAACTAGGCAAGTACACACACACACACACTATACAATGGGGATCTCAACAGAGTCTTAATACAAACCTTCAGACAATCTGTGACTAAGCCATTGAGCTCAGTACTGGTAACTTTCTCCTTTTCAAAGAAGTTGTTGCAAAACTTGCCCATGTCATGTCTGCAAGCCTTAAGGAGATCTGGGTCGAGGCGAGTATCAGTTGTCTGCTCCACCATCCGACGAATAACAATTGACCGACAATTTCCATCAAAGTTTGGCTCCTCTTTATTGGCCTACAGAAAAAAAACAAATTATTATTGTAATTGTTGCTATAGAATTTAGGCATTAGACCAGGCAAACTTGTAAACCAAAAAAGTGTTTCCCAATAAAGGCAGCAAGAAAAACTGTACATTACTGTATGTCAAGCTTTAAATTATCCAATTTGTGAAGCTTTAAATTATCCAATTTGTGTTAAGTGCCTTGCTTCTTCTAGCATTTCCCCAAAATAAGGTACTGTACCTGCTACTTGCTTGAGATACAAAAATGAAGAGAAGGCAAAGCTTACCTCAAAAAGCATAGTCTGATAGTCAAAATTAAACAAATGGTGATGGAAATAACTTCGGCATCACATTGGGAAAAAAAGAATCCCTTACATCTCTACAGCGTTAGTGTGACAATGGTTAACTAATACAGTATCGTAATTCGCAAAGCAGTCAAGTGTATGAGTACTGATTTGCCCTAACTCTAGTACAACAAGGATTTTTTTTGTAGGAATGTGAAACTTGCTTCAACCTGGTATCCTCTGCATTTTAGGAATGCAGGAATGATGCCAACACCTGCCCAGGTCCCAGAAAGCTAAGGTATATTAGTATGGTTGTGAGTAGTGTTAGAGGAATAAATCAAGGGATGAATGTAATAAAATTAATTTTTCTGGGTGACCCTCAATAACTCCTTGCTACATTAGGCTCTGTACTACTGACACACAATGCTACCAGGCCTCTGGACTTAGAAAGGCCTACCCAAACATTAGGAAAAGAATTTAGAGTGCTCATAGAGGTGAATTCAACCCACATTCACGGTTAATTTTGCTCTTTTTGGGAGGGAATCTGGAAACCATAGATCTTCAGTGCAATCCCCCACCCCTCGATCACAGAGGATGCAATGCTGATGAGCAGAGAGAGCATCACATCCCTACTACGAGTCACATACTTCAAACATTGTGTAAGCAAACCTTTAAACAGAAAAGGAGCTTCTCAGAGTTCACATCATGACAGTATTGCATGATCATCTGTTTGCATAACGTCACCAAAACCACATCTGTGCCAGGGTCCATTTGCTCCTCTTGCTCACGGGCAAATAGCTGCTCATGGCACTTCTTAGTCAACTCCTTCTTGTGATCACGTAGACACTCAAGAATCTGAAATTCAATAATGCTTTTCAATACCTGATAAAATTGCACTAACATGTACTTACAGAGAAAATTGGGAAAAAATCCTTTATTCAGGTTTTGGGTTAAATTTCTTCACATTCACTTGGACCCTTATGGAAACTCCAATTATTCTTCTTTTTACAGTTCTACTGTACTATACTTCAATTTGTATTAAGTATTAAATGTTCAACTTGGAAATACAGCTGCAAAACAATCACACACTCGAATATTAAGAGCACAGTACTGTAAATAAGTTTTAAGACTCACTTCTCCTTTACCACGCTGGATGCCTTTGCAGAAATTGTTGACATCCTCTTCGCAGTCATGCTGCAATTTGGGATCCAACTTTATGTTCTCATGGCGTTGCATTAGCTGCTGGCGGAGTTGTTGCCGACAGGCCTTCGAAATGTGGTGATTATCATTATTTATAATATCGTTCCGAACAACTGTGCTCAGACAATCTATCACATCAGCCCTGTAATGACCAAAATATACAAAATAAACACACACACTAATACATATTCATAATGCTGAACCCTGAAGATGACTATACTTTAGACAGTACATCATCATCTCACTTTCTCTTAACCGGAAAAGACTTTTATTTGTCTTTTACAAAATCCATTCATTTCTTCATTTGTCATTAGCCCGTTTTCCACTTTCATGGGGAAGGGGGGAAGACTTGGATTAGTTTGACCAAAGGATTTGGTAAGCTGGAGAAAGAAAGATCTGGAAAAATGACGTGGGAACACTGAAAACTTTGAATGACATAAGAGGATAAGGAGGGAACAAAACGTTTAGTGTTAAGCGAGGATGTTGAGCGAATAAGCTTTATGTTGGTGGAATAGTGCCTCATCACTGGAGGATGAGGAGATGCTAATGTTTTGGTATTAGAAGCTGATGGAATGCAAGGCAACTGTTTCTTTATTAATGGCTAATGGTCTATGTAGCTGCAAGCTATTAGAAATACTTGTTTACAATTTTGATTAAATAATGGGAGTATATAGGATCTGGGAGCATTCATTCTGCAGGATTATCAAGGAGGCCAATGTGCATGGAGTAAAGTAAGACAGTTTGTGTATACCTTATATATAACTGCATTCTGATGTAAAGAGATTTTGAATAGTGGTACCCTCTGTCAAAAAACTGATACATTAAAATGATGTAAAAAAGAAAAAAAAACTCACTTGTTCTTAGGTTTTGGCCGACTACACAGCTGAGCAACATCTGCTTGGCATGCCTCCTTAAACCGTGGTGAGAACGTATAGTCTTTCAGGGTTATTAGCTGAAAAATGACACACACATTACATCATGGGCAAGGTGTTTAACCATGCTGTTCCTAAATTATAGGTTCAACATATAATCTTACAATTTTTCTTTAGTCAATGAAATACCATTAATGGAAGTATTTGCAGCAACAATGTACCTAAATAACTAGTAATTTAGGTCAATGGGTGATGACAGAGGCCCACAATACATGGTACAATTAAATTATTATGTATTCAGTATTTGCAAAATATTTATTGAAATATTTTTTTAAATGTGAAGAGTGTAAATGCTGTCTATATAAAGAAATGTTATTCTCAAATACTACCCCAAAACGAAAAGTTACATTGCAACCTATGTCAATGAAGCATAAAATTACTAATTAGTTTGTAATTGATAGTTTGTAGCAGCATAGCATTACATGGCATTCTCAATTATATGAAGTACTGCCGAGTCAATGGCAATGCCATTCTTTAACTTTCATAGACATATTAAAACAAAACAAAAAATGGTTTACACAATTAGTCTCCATCCTGCTTTCTTACTAGACTAAAAAGTGAAATTTTTTTAAATTTCCAAGATTTCAAGATTCCAAGAAATTTCCCTTCTGCTCCCATAAAATATTGTTCCCCTCCACAATCTTGGAATGATGTCTAGGTGAAGCAAATATGGTGATGTTAATTGAGGGAGGAGGTGGAAGCTGAGGGGTCCTGATTGATATAGAGGAAGAACACTAAGTTTTGAATTTGAGCTGTTTTTAGATGCCCTTTTAAAAGTCTGATAGTGATAATTGTTTTAAGTACTGTATCTTGTAATTCTTGAAAACCTGCAAATACACTAAAAATATCATTCCCCTACTAAATACTAAAAATTTTCTTACCTGGAAGTGCTCAATTACAGCTCGACATTTTGGGTAAAGTTTCATCGTTTCTACATTTTTATGATGAATAAGACACTCCATCAAGGCACCATCATCACCTCCAGGTTGTGACTCCTCTTTACACATCTGACAAAAAATATATATTATATCCATTGATATTATCTATTTACATGGACTTCTTACAACTATTTAACATTAATCACAAATATTATTTGTTGTAACAAATTAAACAGTTATAACCAAATAACTTGTCAATCATTAATCTATTAAGTCAATCTACTAAGATTAACTTATGTACATCTCTACATTTAAAATCCAGAAGCCATTCTAGATAAGTTTGAATTTTATTTACATTTTTAACCTAATTAGCTGGGACTAGCAGGTGCTATTCTGACTGAAACAAAATATTAATATAAAAGAAAAGATGGACTGGGTTTAACTCCTGGGAACACACATCTGGAGAGGAAGGACCGGATTAGAATAACATCAACTCCTTATTAAGCACCCAAGAGAAACAAGTGTTACAAGGCCGAGGGACATGCGCCTAGTGCTTCCGCCTGTTCACAAGAGCCACACATTTTGAGGGTTAAGAGTAAAGTTTGATAGATCAACATGTGCAAACAAATAGATGATGGACTGCAAATACATATTTTCCAATGTGGAAAAATTGAGTTACGGTGTGGGCCACACCACACACACTAAAAAGTAAAGAGACGACGACGTTTCGACTTGATATTGGTCCAGGACGGATCGAATCGTTGTCTCTTTACTTTCTAGTGTGGGGTGTGGTCAACATTTTTCAGCCACGTTATTGTGACTCCTCATCTGCACTTGAGTTACAGTACTGTATATTGGATTGGAAACGAATGCTCACCTGAGGAATGGCAGCAGCACACTGAATTGTCAGCTGTGCATTAAGCTTAGTGTCTTTTGCTTCAGCCTCTGTGTAGTTGCTCACTGCATCTTTACACTCCTTATTTAACCTAAAATTAAATATGAAGTATAAATACATACATTAATATAGCAAATGCTGTTTATTCTACAAACTGTATTCCCACAAGTACTAAGGCTAAGCTAAATATGGAGAATGCCAATTAATTCAGTGTAATTTACAAAGTGATCTTTGATCATATTACCCCATCTTGTCTCAAATACATTCATTATTGCACAACAATCAACTTTACCCCAGGCATTAAATTCATCACCAGCTTCTACCACTTCTCCATTCTCCTGATTTCACATACACAGTTCACTTTTCTAGCACCACCATAACTTTACTGTGTCCACAATATACACTTTCAGAAGCCTTCGCTTAAATAATACTTTTCTCTCCATCTGTATACTGTACATTCAAATTTAAAATTATCCATTTATTCCTATTAAACCATTCTCTAACACTGATCTTAACCACTCTCAGAAATTTATCCAGTCTGAAATTACCATGTGAACTTTACACAATCTTGGAATGCTCCTAATATCAATATCAATCCAAGCATTTAACACAAAAGTAACTCTTTATGTACAATGCATTTCAGAAAAATAGTTTATGTATTTAACAACCACCCAACCAACTACAAAGTATAACACTCCACAGTCCCTTTCTTCATTTTATCATACATTTCCTCCAAGTCCATAAACACCATGTATACCTTACAATCTTTCTCACGTGCCATTTACACAAGATATCTCTTGTGCAAATATCTGATATGCAGGCCTGCATAATCTAAATGGGGGCCTAAGAAGAATAAAATATAGCTGGAGAATAACACTTCAGGTCTTTTTGGTATCGCTTCTAGATACGAATCCCGGTATCCTACTTTGCTTAGTTTGAACATTCAGACATTGAGGTTCAGCTTAAGATTTGTACTAATCATGACTTTTTTGCATTCAAATATCATAGGTATCATTATGTATATCCTCGTGTTCAAATTGTATAGCTATAGATGACTTTTTATTGCATAAATCTTTAAAGCCATTGTCATATACTGTGTATCATTATGGCATGTGGGTAGATAATAGGCCAGGACATGTTTTGATAAGGAATAAGGATATCTGGATTCTTGGTATTTCCTTTGGAGGGGAATTCAAAGGAAAACAGACAAGTGATATAAATTGACTAATTGATAGAAAGATAACTACAACATGAGAAAATGAGGAGGAAGAGAAGGAAGATGTGGAAGATTTGAACAATGAAATAGAAGAGGATAGACAAAAACTATAATACAGTCACTGCTCTTACTTCTCAAGGTTTTCTTGAAGACAAGCAATTTCATCTCCAGGTCCAGTTTTCTCAGAACAAAACTGAGCAAGATTATCCATGCAAACCATCTCTATCTCTGGATGCAAGTCCACATAGGCTGCTCTCTCATGCATCACACGTTGAACCTCTTGCATACAACTGCTGCTTAACTGTAGAGAGAACATACACGGTCTCGTAGGCAAAAATAAATGAACCCAATTTGAATATATCATCATACTGCATAGTTCAGTTTTGTTTTTATAGTAAAAAAACACTAACAAATGATGAAGGGAATTACAAATTGCTTTGAATTTAAGTGTAATTAACCATCTGTAAATACACTGATAGTAGACAGGTTGACTTATGTATAAGTACTGAATATAGGAAGGGCTTCTAACCTAAATTTTAATTCAAATTTCATCATTTGTCAAATAAACATGACAATAACAAATTGAATCAACAATGTCACACTTTGGGAAACCAATTTCCTTCAATACTGTGACATCATAAAAGTATTTGATACTTTTGTTCTGTTAATACCAAGGAATTATTTATGCAGAATGTTAGATAGTTATTATTAATATAAATATAAAAATACCTAAATTACTACATTACAAAATGTCATCTGCAGTTCCAGCAATTACAGGTACCAAAGTAGACTGCAAACTGAATTAAGGTATGGTTATGACACAAAACAGATAGTCAGCATATAAAAGTTGTAACGTTAAGAGTGGAGGTAAGTATCACAAGAAGGCACCAAGCAGGGAAGACGATGTCCCAAGACATCTATTTTTCACTTTAAAGAGGGCACGCCATAAATTTAATGAATACGTGCACCTTGTGAAGACCTAAATCAACTTTCAAAATACTCTTTTTATCATACTGGCTGTTTTTGCTATCTCCAGTTTTGTCATTTTTATTTTTTAAGAACTAGTCCTTCACCTTCTGGAGGGTTCCTTTGATAAATTGACACTTTAATTGTCCAGCCAGGGATGAATTATGTATGCTTTGTCCTGTTGCTGATGTGTGATGTTAATTTTGCGTTATGTGTCTCGAGAGATTGATCTCATTATCAATCCTTGGTCCTTAATTTCTTGTTCCAAGGCCCAGCTCTCCCAGATCATTCAGAGGGTTATTCCGTTAGGTCAGCCCAATAAGCTTTCCCGCACTAATAATGTGTGCAGATATGCCACCATTTCGGCTTTCTTTGCTAATATGTCTATGGCTAAAATTTAGATTGGGGGTTTCTAGTGGGTCAAGAGGGCATTGGCCACTCGTTACTTGTTTCATGTCTCATTCTCACTCTGCACTTGGGTGGGTGATGTGTATCATCTTTCCAGTCTTAGTCTTATGCCAGCAACTTCTAACGGTAAGACCGTTTGGTTTATCTGCTTTTTAATTGCTGAATGTGTCCACTAGCAATGCCACTCATTTTTGTAACTGTAGCTCTGCCCTGTTCTCCGATTTCTTGTTCCAAGAAAACAAGTCTGTTAGGACACTAAACTTCAGGAGAAGTTTAGAGTCCTTCCAGACTCTAAACTTTTCCAATTTAAGAACTAAACCTGTAATAGTTCTTGTCTGCTAAAGCAATCAATGATAATTATTGGTATATTTTATTGGAACCCATTTATATACAAGTAATGACATGAATGTCTATTGAATTTATGAGCTCTTACCCTTAAATTCTCCTTTGGATGGTAAACATAACGAAACAGGCAGGGAAGAACCTGAGCTCCTCTTTGTACATTTGTATTTGGTGGATTATCAGCCCAGTCTTTCTTAGCCTTGCACAGCCTTACTGCATCATCGACACATGCCATGTGAAGTTGGGGATCCAATTTCCAGTCTCGAGACACGAAATACTGTATTTCCAATAGAGCTGCTTCACATGCCGCAGGCATCTCTGGGGAGTCGATGTGGCGCATTAAGCATCGCATCACTCTGAAAACATTTAATTATTTATTTATGTGACTCAAAGCACTCACTGACATTATTAAATACATAAATCCTTAAAAAATCTGCTATCATCACATGATGGTAAAATGGAAAAAAACTACAAAAATCAATAAAATGGAAAAAAATTACAAAAATCAATAAATGTAAACTAAAGCAAATATTTAAGTTTTATCTTCAATATCAGTTAAAGGATTATATGTTTCTACCCTTTCATTTAAAAAACTGCAATATATATACAAGTGTTTGAAAATAATTTATTACATACCTGGCATTTCCTCCTCTCACATCTTTACAAGTAGACTCCACTACAGGATGGCAGGCCTCGTGCAGCACCGGATCCACACGCCAATCCTCACCAACATCCGACTCCTTTACCACTGCCTCTAGCTGAAATATTTAGATCACATAAAAGCATTAATTCATACTACTAACAATGAGGTTAGAATGTGTACTTAAAGATAGATAGATATAATATATATATATATATATATATATATATATATATATATATATATATATATTTATTTATATTTATTATATATATATATTTATTATATATATATATTTATTATATATATATATTTATTATATATATATATTTATATATATATATTTATTTATATATATATATATATATATATATATATATATATATATATATATATATATATATATATATATATATATATATATGAGAGTATAAAAGACACATGTGTTATGTTGTGCAAGTACAGTATATATGTGAATGTTAAGAGAAAGCTTCACATACAAACGTTTTTTATGCCCTAAGAGTTATGACATTCCTCAACAGGATTTCACTTTGCATGAATATTCCATTATGGTGCCTTTTTGAGTTATTCTTCCAACACCTATAACTTGGAGAATGGAAACTATACTTGTGACCATGTTTACTTGCTCTCACCGTCTAGAAATTCATTCTTGCCGACAATATTTCTATATTATTATACTATGTAAAAATTTGCAAAGCCCACCATTAATTCACATCTACTGTAGTACTATGCTGCACAAGGTATCTTTACAGCTTGAATACCTGTAAGTTAACATACAGGATGAAATGTTGCTTACCTCCTTTCTACATTGGTCTGAGACGTGCTTGCGTGGGTTGTGGATGCGGATTTTTTTCATAAGGCAATGCAGTGTGCGTCCACCAGTTTCAACTCCTCCATTGCAAAATGAATCTATTTCATTCTTGCAAGACACCATCAGGTCTGGAGACAGCTTGTAATCCTCCATCAGTTGTCGACGGTGTGCAAGCATCTCCTCTTTGCAATCTCCATCAATAGTTATTCCTAATCACAAAGAAATTTAAAATATTATAGAGTACACTACATAATTTTATATATTTACACAATAAAAAGCTTAAGCAAATAAGCATAAATCTGAGTCAAGACATTAATACAAATAATTAACAAATTTGCAAATAAAAACAAATTGAATAATGAAGAAATTTCCTGGTACAGGAGCTAAAGGACCAACCACACATTTTAGGCAGAACCAACACCTCTTAAAAAGGAGAACAAATTTTGCTCTCTTGAGATTACATTACCAAACTACAGTACTTATAACACATCACATGATAGCTAGAACAGATGAATTAATAAAACCAGCTTTTGTTTGTTTTTTGTTTGTAAAAGGTATCAAAATTAACTTGGATGTAAACCTTCATTTTCTTTCATTATCCAAGGAAATATTTCATCCTGTGTTTAGTGACCAGAATGCAAGTATTCAACCACAAGAGTCCTACAATAAATCAAAGCCTGGTTGAACCCTTCTATGCCACAAAGAGATGGAGGCTACACAAATTATGCCAAGTCAAACTGGAATAGAGGATGAAGTACACCCTAATCTAAAGGCAAAAGCCCACTGCCCTGAGGAATTAACGCCAGGATTGGGAAAACAGCAACCAAGACCCCTCCGCAAGAAGCCCTGCAACACAGGTACCTGTAGTCGACGAAGTCATAGAATACAGGTACTGTATTTATAAAAAATACACGAAATAAGCACAATTGGCCAGGAATTTGATGTATTTCAACCACAATTTTTTTTTAAATATGTATAGGAGTACTCCCAAAATCTAGATTACATAATTTCAGACCTGACACGGTTATATGTGATATACGATAGAGACTTCTGGAAATTTTCCTTTTTTTTTTTTGCTATTTATCACTAAATTTTTGTATCATCAATTATCATAGTGAACTATTATTTTTATTTTATAATGCCATTTCGCTACCGTCATGTTCCTTTCATTGCTGCTGACCTAATTAGTGGGTTGGTTTTTGATCCATACGAGTTTCCCAGCCACAAAGAGAGGGAAGAGCAGAGACAGTGCTTGTACCCAGTATGCTAACTTTGTCAAAGGGAATCCTGTCATTTTCACTGATGCCCTATACATCCAGGTATGGCAATATGAAGGGAGCTATGAGAAGTGTAAAACCAAAACATTATCTTTAATTAATAAAACTTATTACATAATTTTTTCTTTCTACCTTTAATCTTTTAGCATAGTTATAATACAATGTTTATCATTTGGTTGTGCCGTTGTAAAAATACACGTTCTATCATTTGGGGTTAAGGGAAAACAAAAAGTCCAAATGAAGTAGGCAATAAATACCTTAAATCAGCAAAACTGCTTATATAATAGATTCCTAAAAAATCTTCAATAAACCCATTCTTTTGCATTTCATTCTATCAAGGAAACAATTATATAATGCACTCTTTGCAGAACATTAAAATACAGTAGCCGAATACCTTTTCGAAGAGCATTTTCAAGGCACAGCAAAATGCGCGAGAGTTTCACTTCATGGATATCATCAGAACTTCCCTTGCGACAGGAATTCTCGGAGATGGCACTCCTGCAGGCTCTGACAATTCCTCGATTCACACGATAGTCTTGCACTGTCAGCTGTTGTCGGCGCGATATCTGATCAACACACTAAAAGAAAAAAAAAATTGTTACCATTACTGTAGGAGCTCGGTAATTTTGACGCCAATAACCCAAATCTCTGAGTAATCTGAATGAATCCATGTTCGAGTTATGTGGTTACCACTTTCTTACAGTAACATAAGAATCAATGTTAAAAATAAAGCTCCATCAGCCAGCACATAGAACTGCAAGACGGGGAATACACATGGACACACAAATAAATGAGCAAGAAAACTGATAATAGAAGTCATTGAGAGAGCAACGTTAATGTTGAAAAGATATAGAAACACACTTTACTACCTCAGATGAGAGATTCTCCACATGACCAAACCTATCAACCAATTATCAGTTATAAATTAAGATAAAAGAATGTTCCACATCTGGGAGGTTCCTTTGATAATAAATTGAATAATGAACTAGTAAAAAAAAATTAAAAATTTAATGATATAAATAACACCAGTAAATGAGTAAAAGTCAATGTATTTCTTTTCACTGACCATTCAAAAATGGTCAATGTAAATAAACTTATCAATAATATAAGGTGCCCAAATTATATTTCACTGGCTAATCCTCATCCAAAAGCCTCGAAGTTAAGAATGAACTCAGAATTCATCAAGGGTGTTTGGGAAGACTGATGTAAAGATGGTGGTGGTGGTGGTAGTTGTGGTGGTGGAGGTGGTGATGGTAGTTGTGGTGGTGGTGGTGGTGGTGGTGGTGGTGGTGGTGGATGTGGCAGTGGTGGTAGTTGTGGTAGTGGTGGAATGGCAAGAAGGTTGGCAGCCTCACTGATGATAAAGTTCTTGTGTTTTTCTCTGCTTACTTGATATATTGTCAGGGAACCCAAAAAGTTATACTGCATAAAACACAGCAGTTATTGTACTACACAGCACAATAATGAGAGGAACCTTAATTTTGTGATCACATGTATATTCTTCATATAAATGATGCTCCTTTGTTGACTATATTGCTCAATTTCAGTAGCAGCCAATTTTTCTATATGTACAATATTAGGTATTTTAGTTTTCAATTAATATACAGAATGGTACAGGTAACACAATGTGTATGAAAACAAAAATAATTAAACTTTACAAAACAATAAGGTATCCCCATCAAGAATACCGAATAAACATTTCTATACAGTACCTCCTTGCTCATTCCCCGTTCAGTCTTATGTTTCATAAGGCACTTGTAGACACGACCCTCTCCAGACCGTATATTTTCACAGAATTTTTCACGGTCTTCACGGCAGGCAAAGAACAATGCTCGATCAAGGTGAAAGTCATCTGACTGGAGCTCAGCTAATCTGCAATACACAAAGTAATATTATACTGAAAGAAAACTATGACATTGTCATGCTGGTGAAAGAACAGAAGGTAAGAAAGAGAATTAAGAACTGACAACCCACAAGAAGTTGACATAATGGTACAAGAGATTTATTATCATGATAAACAATACTGTATTTGACAGTCTTTACTGTCCTCCCTTGGATAAGAGTGACCATGTCCTTTTGGAAATAAAATATGTAATGTCTTATTCAGTGGAACCTCGCTCGTATGACCCTGTTCTCGTATTTTTCGGTACTCGTATTCAATTTCTCAGAAAAATTTGATTCGGTACTTGTTTGCCTAGGTGCTCAGAGTTTGTTCATACACGTACGGGTCTACCGTGAGCATGGCGCCTCAGTTTACCAGTGTCTCCTGCCTAGTGATGATCGTGCTTGAATTCTTTGTGAAGGATTTCATTGTTTTTATGCTTTTTGGTTTCTGAACATAAAAGTTCTTATAATATATCATGCTATGTATTCCAAGAAAGTCAGTGGTAATGTTCAACCTAGGAAAATAGTTGTAAGGATGTCGATAGAGGAAAAACAAGAGATCATTCATAGTGAGACAATGTGATGTCTCACTACAGACAAGTGTTAAAGCATGGGAAAAAACAAGTGTCTATAGAGAGATTCTTAGTAAGACAAGAGAGCAGTGAGCCACAACCAGGTCCTAGTGGTATGCCTGCAAAATGTAAGAGAGACAGTACACCAGAAATGTCATCACTGCTGTTATAATGAAGCTTATAAAAAAAATTGTACTGTTAGGGATTTAAATAGAATCTCTAATAGTGTAATATATATAGGCTATGGAATTTGAAAAAAAAAAAAAAAAAAACTGGCTCATCATCATAAATTAATTACACTTACCTAAGAATCTGCTTGTGGCACTGGCGACCAAGCTGCTTATTAGGATCTGGTGGATTAAGCTGACTAGCATGGTTTGTAAGACATTCAATGGTGGAGCCCTGGGAGTGAGGCTGACCTTCGTGTGCAACATCCACACGACCACATTTGAATTTTTCAATCTCCTCTTTACAGTTGTTTACCATATTCTCCACATACCGAAAATCACTAAAGACTATTGCTGCTAGGCGGAGAAGGTACTGTCGACAACGCTCGTCCTGCAAATGAAATTCAGCTTCGTTAAAGGAAAATAGCTTTTTGTACAGTATCCTATTTTATGCATTTCAGATTTTCAGCCAAATCTTAAGATGTAAATCAGAAGTACCAAAAGAGAACTTTTAGGTAACCTTAATCTGGTCCAGCTTTTCTGCCATGCAGGATATGGTGTGGCCTGGAATAGATTGCGCCTCACAGTCGGTAAACTGCTTGAGCTCCGTTTCACAAACATCTTTGGCCAATTCTTCTATACGGCCACTGCGTGTCAGGTTCATCTTGTAATTCCACAAGAGCTATAAAAACAAAGAAAATAAAACAAAATATCACTGGTGAGGAAGTGTTTAATAAGCATGTTACAATTCGCGCGCGCACACACAAAAAAAGCGTTGAATGTAATGAAACGATATTTTCTGGGTAGAGCCCCGGAGGCTCCCTGGAGTTATTGGAATGTTATTAGGTAATATTAGTACTTGGCTTCAGAAAGCCCATTAGTACTGGGCTAATATTAGTAATGGGCTGCTAACCATCTATATAACACAAGAACGATCTGAGCATGGTATGATGACATGTTGCTTGTTAGCTTTTTTTCTTTTGGGGAGTTTCTCACCTCTGTTCGGTCTCAGGTTGCAATATTTCTACCAGGTGAGGTCTGTTTTGAAGCGCCTATCTTTCTGGGTGCTCAGCCCCGGTCAATGGCAGACATGAATACTTTTATACATAAAAGTTTCATTGGCCATTGCTCCGTTCGCCTCTCTGAGGGGACCATGTTCTGGCTAGTGGTCCCCGGTAGGCATTTATTTATTTATTTATTTATGTATTTATTTATACATACAAGAGTTCTTACATTCTTGTATAGCCACTAACATGCGTAGTGTTTCGGGCAAGTCCTTAATCCTATGTTCCCGGAATATGACCCCACCAAATCATTTAACAACCAGGTACCCATTTTACTGTTTGGTAAACTGAAGATACAGTTAAGGATTGACACCCAGTAATTCCTCCCTGGCCAGGATACGAACCAAGGACAAAGCACTCACAAAACGCCTGGCGAGTGTCTTAATCACTACACCACAGGGACTGCTAAACAACTCCATAAGACTGAAGCCCAATACTAATATTAGCCAATATCAGTCCAATAGCTTCAGGGAGCCAACGGGGCCCTCCCCAGAGAAAAACATTAAATATAATGAAATGCCTCTTTCTAGTGGGGTTCTTGGTGGCTACCTAGTGTCACTCAATTCAATTCATGCCAGTCTCTTCAGAGTAAACGTAAGCCTAACAGGCATCGGAGATCAAAACCTGGCCCCTTCTAAAGAGGCATAAGGAGCAGAGGATCCTAGATCACCCAACCAAGAAAATGCCACCAAAATAGTGGGAAAACCAAAAACATACAAACATGAAGATAAACAAAGCACAGAAAATGATACACCAGAACCTTGAGATTAATAAACCACCAAGTCATCAAGTTCTCTTGTTAGTTCCACCTATGCACCACCAGGTGGAACTAACAAAAGAAGCACACCACCTCAATCCCTCTAGCCTTGATACTTAGTCATTTTGCTTCGTTATGATCATCTATGATGTTGCTGTTACGCTCCTCATTCCTACCATCTCTTCAAACCGTTGTTATTCGGGTAAGTGTTGCCATCATCTTGAGGTTATCTTGAGATGATTTTGGGGCTTTTTAGTGTCCCCGCGGCCCAGTCCTCGACCAGGCCTCCACCCCCAGGAAGCAGCCCGTGACAGCCGACTAACATCCAGGTACCTATTTTACTGCTAGGTAACAGGGGCATAGGGTGAAAGAAACTCTGCCCATTGTTTCTCGCCGGCGCCTGGGATCGAACCCAGGACCACAGAATCACAAGTCCAGCGTGCTGTCCGCTCGGCCGACCGGCCATCATGGACACTGTTTTGGTTTGCAGGGGCCATTTGCTAGTGTATTTGCTCTATATTTTAGTGTTTGCTTCATGAGATGTGTGTTTATTTATGCCTCCACTTCTCGTGTGTGAGGGATTAACTGTTCACCCTAAACTGGATGTGCCTCATTTTGTCCCATTTTCTATGCTTTGTTTAAGTTGCTGTTTGTATGTTTTGGCTCATCTGTCTGCTGGCCCTTTCTTGGTTAAGGTAAATTTAGGATTCCCTGGTGCTTACACCCCTTTAGAAGGGGCCAGGTTTTGGTATCTGGTCCCTAGCAGGATTACAATGACTTGCATGGGCCTGGCATCGACTGAATTGGATGGAGCTATCCAGGTAGCTGTTTAGCCAATCACTCTACATCTATATAACACAATAGCAATAACAGGGTTAAGTTTTAATTAAAAGATAAGCCAATCAACTGCCAGAATCATTTTGGTCACAGTTCACCTATTTCCAATCTTCAATTGTACATTTTTTTTAGTTTATTTTCAACCACGTATGTCCATACATTTACAAGGCTAGCCAGGATATGTACATTTTCTTCTGTTCTCAATGGTCAGGGTTGCAGATTTGTAAGACATTATATAGTGTCACAAGTTATTAAGCACTCTACCACAGAAGGTGACTGTAGTGCTTTGACAATACTATCCAACATACATACGATACATACATCTATGTCTGTCCTACATAATCAGGGTTTGAGACATGTTCTCTTACATATAGCACAGTTGGTTACAGCCAGTGTAGGATATACAGAGCAGTGCTTAACATAGTATTGTTACAGTATATGCAATAACAATAATTAGGTTACAACTTACATGATTGCATTTATCACTGATGACTTCATGGATATCTCTCTGAAACAAATAAGCAGACAGTAAACTTGTACTCATGACAATTTAATATTCATAGTTATCAGTAATAATCATAATTTCCACATTTTGCCAGCATTCATAAAAATATAAACAAATCCATATTAATACAACATATTAATAAGTGTGGCTGTGGCCACACTTGTACAGTACTGAAGAATGTAAAAGAGAAAGCTCAATCATATTAATTGAAGGTAAAAATGTTAACTAATCAGTATATTTCATGTGTAAATATGAGACTCCCTTTACCTAACAACTTCTCTGGCAACAAATATACTGTATCTAGCCATTCTGCCCACCAGCCTACTTCACAACTCCATTACAGGTAAACCACAGTATGCAATGCATTTTTGTGCATATATTTGTTATTTTTATATACCTATCTACAATGTAATATAATTTTTAGTTTTCTATGAGAAGCACGGAGTGGGAGGGGGGTTGTGCAAATTCTGAATGCACAGTACAAGGTAAGGTAATGTATAGCATACTCGAATTGTACCATGTAACTATAGGCAGCTAAGCTTCAGATTGATATAAAGCACTGATGCAGGATACTTGTAAACTATTAAGTTATGATAACCTAGAGGGTTCTCTGGCTAAGCATTGAGTACCATATTCTTATCTACCATCAGTAGTTGTTGGGCTGGTATTTCTTACGGTCAGCAAATGTCTGGGAGAAACAAGACTCCCAGATTTGCATATTTCAAGAAATGAGTATGACAATGAAATGAGTACAGTGGAGGTCTGTGCAATTTGTGATTTATTATGAATTGAGAAAGTATAAATAATTCAAGGAGTGTAAATGAGTAGAGGGTGGGGAAATGAGTAGAGGGTGGGGAAATGAGTAGAGGGTGGGGCAATGTGCACAGGCTGGAGGAGGAAAAAGTGGGTGGTGGTGTAGGAGGTAAATGGTGGAGTTGGTAATGAATAGGGGATGCACCCACATACTGTACAGCACTAGTGTTAGTAAAATTTATACCAGATTATATGCCACTGCTGCATTACCAATAGCTTACTGGCCTCACATTGGCTAAATAGATTGTCTTGAAAAGAACCCTTATTTAGGCTTTAAAATGCCACTTTCTCATATGTCTCTCAGTGTTTTTTTTTACCTTGTCTGTACCCACTTATGACACATTCTCAACATTTGTTTTTTTTCTGTTTCTCTTTAAATCTTGTCAAGTTTCTCTCATACCACTGTTGCTTTCTGTTAAAAAAATCCTGTTCTCTTGATTATTTGATCCCTTACTGTAATGTTCCTTTCCTCCTTATATAGCTCTGTAACAGCAGTCATGAGTCATTACAAACACTGAACTGTACAACATTTGTTGTAAGTAATGTACAAACTATATTGGACCAACCCCAATTCGTTAAAAGTGAAGGGATTCATTGCAACCAGAGGTGCTTTCAGGAGGCATTTGTGCAATGCATTTTTTAGACAAGAAAAATACATTGCTATGCCTGTTTCTTTGTATTGATGTTTTATTCATTTACAAAACTTAAAAAAAAAAAAAAAAATAAGTGGAGCCAATTTAAGAGTTTTTTTCATACCTTAATATTTATATATTATGCCCTAATATAAGATGGCTAAGCATCGAGTACCATATTCTTATCTACCATCAGTAGTTGTTGGGCTGACAAGAAAAAAAATATATATATATATATTATATATATATATATATTATATATATATAATATATAATATATATTATATTTATATAATATACCCATGCCCAGCCTCGAAACCTTTTTATAGGGAGGACCCATATTTATGTGAACGAAAACTGCAGCAAACAAAATTAAAATAAACCATAGAATTTGCTTTCTTTAAATATGATCAGTGACCATCACATACAGTTTGTAAACTTGTTTTCCATATTTAATGTACAGGTACTAATTAAAATATAGACAAAACACCAGAATCTCTAGCTTGCATGCATAGAGCATAGAGCGTAAGTATGCATGGAGAATTTGGGAGGGACATGGCGACAGGTTAGAAACTGGGACAAGTAGACAAAACGAAGGAGCGGTGCTCAATGACTTGGACCATTGGTCATCAAATACTGATCTGAAAGAAGTTACAAACCAGATGTAAGGCCATTGTTGCACTAATCAGAGAATTCCCTTATTTCAAATCAACATGGTAACCTACCCGTTCATTTTGTAAACATTCCAAGACAGCAAAGTTATTACGAACGTCTTCTTTGCATACACGATGAATATCCTCCTTACAGTCCTCTTCTTCTATGAGCTTGACAATTGTGCTTTTGGCAATGGTTCTCCCGCTGTCGCCTGCCACCCCCACGGGCCCACTGTGCCTATAGGATCCTGGGGGTGGAATATTGCCACCCCTCAAATAACTATTGTCACCTGGCGGCCCTTCCCTCGGAACACTGCTAACACCCTCCCATAGCAGCACCAGCCACACACACACACTCACTACCCACTTCATGGCTCGATGACCCGCACTATTCGCCGTGTGAGAGGGAAAAAATATCAACGATCAGACCATGTCCAAGGAGCACCAGCCCGTGTTGTTGGTCGGTTGGGGTCCTGCCACGCCGCTCCCCTCACTACCCCCTGATAACAATTAGTGGTGAATATTGATGCAAACTACCGCTTCATTGCAATGTTTATGCCTTGTAAACTATGACATCTACTTCAATAAAATGCTCCATACAGATAACAGCGTCAAATGAATGGCCTTAAATATCAATCGAATTATTAACACAACACTATGTAAAAAATAGTTAATTCGTAGATTTAAACTGAACATTTAAAATTTTTGAAGAAAATAAATTTGATTATATTATTCTTCTAAATTTACATTAAAACTACATAATAAATTGGAAATGCGTAAAATATTATTGCGTAAACCAAGATATTTTTCCCCAGCATGAACTAAGATACGCCCACGTAGGCAACTATTCAGCAGTATATTTTGCAATCGAGTATTACAAGAACTGTATGGATCAAAGTTGACTCCATCAACCAAAGTCTACAGTACAGTATAATACACAACTTGAAATTAACTGTTGTGTTAAGCTTTAACAGTACGACTAGAGATCCCATGAATATATGTTCATGGTAGGGAAAAAATTATCGAGTTTTCAATTCCCTGACGACGTGTCAAAGTTATCATGTTTGATAACAATGTTCAAGTGTTGTGTTCTTGCCGTCCTTCCTGTGGATAACAGCCCTTCCTGTTACCACCATGGAAAACCTGCCAAGCCACAGAATAAGGGACTCTATGCTAGCTATTTTCAAACGTTACAATCTCTTAAGACTGCAGAGAGTTGGAAGTGAAACAGGTAAAATGCCCTATTGATTCGTGCTTGATATTAATTTTGGCAGAGGAACTAATAAAAGACGCTAAAATATATATGTATATGATTAATATTGCATACAAATAGTATAAAAATAATTACTTGTCATTACAAATATTACAAACAGGGATGTCGTAAATAATTAGTAACTGGTTGTGACCATTTAAACAACCTTCCCCTCGTCTAGGGGGATTTCAAGCCTAACTAAGTGTACTTGGCACTAATACAGTCCATCAATGTATTAATCCTTGTCCAATTAAGCATTGTATGAGGATTAATATATTATCTAATTCATTAATACAACTAAATAATTTATAATAATCAAGTATTCTTGTTATAATAACATTTATAAGCATTTATGTAAGATTTAAACATACCCAAAATGCTCTATCACTAGAAAACTGTTCTGAATATTTGTTGCCAAATATCTAAAAGATTTTTAAGACATTAATATTGAGGTATGCCCAAAATACTGTGCATAATTAAGGGCCAGTACAGTACTGTAACTACTATACTAAGTATTCACTCTAATCAGATTCTTTATTCTTGTAACTAAAATTATTTATTATTATTATTATGATTATTCCACGTGGTGTAGTGGTAAGACACTCGCCAGGCATTTCACGAGCGCTTTGGCCTGGGTTCGTATCCTGACCAGGGAGGATCGACAGGGCGCCAATCCGTAACTGTACCCTCTGTTTACCCAACAGTAATATGGGTACCTGGTTGTTAAACAATTTGGCGGGTCATATTCCAGGGAATATTAGAATTAAGGACTTGCCCGAAACTCTACGAATGCTAGCGGCTGTACAAGAATGTAAGAATGCTTGTAAATATAAATACAAAATGTAAAAAACAATTATTATTATTATACAGTACTACTACTGTATAGAATTTCCTATGTCAAGCCAAGGTACTGTATTTATTTTTAAGTTACAGTATATTATATCTGACTTTTAAGATGCCATCGTTACTGGTCTCGAAGAGACGGTAAACTAGTGACCTATAGAAGGTCCCACCATTCATCCTGAGGATTTTTTCAGCTATACAGTACTGTATATACAAGGACACACAGGCACCTCTAAACATATATAAATTCAAACATTTCCATACAAGTAACTTTTTTCTTTATACTTAGGTATACACAACAATGTGCTGTTACCCCAGTCTATACAAAAGATTACAGAGTGCAGATAAGCCTTTTATAATTGTGTATTCAACTGTGTTTACTGATGGGGCCTCAGATCAGTCTGCCTTCCCTGCTCTGATTTCCTCTTTCCTGTAGGTGGAGGGATTCAGTTTGGGTAGTTTGTAAGTAAGTGGACAGGCTGTCTTGGAACATAAGTCAGTGGCAGTCAGGCAAATTATGGTTAGGGTGTATACACCACAGTAATGATTGCCTTGTTACCAGAGATTACTTATTTTTTTTTAAGCCATGGCTTATGTTGTCTTAAACTTTCTGGTATTTTTGCTTGGATTTGGTTTCCCATTGTCAGGAACAGGAAGCCTGTACCTAGGCTTATCAAGGTTTCCTTTGGCCAGTTACTGAACTTTACCAGGATGCATCCTCTAACATTTGCTAACTCATGGGTACCTATTTACTGAGAGGTGAATATAGACAGTAGGTGAAAGGAAATGTACTTGACTTTCTCTGTCCTGCCTGGGATTCCCTCAGTTGTGAGCTGACAGTATAGACCACAGAGCTACAGATTTTTTTTTGGAGGATCTGATTCCCCAACTCCCCTCACATAGAGAGAGAACCATATTCTTGACCTGGTTCCTGTAGGCAGGGTATGGGTCTCAAGCAATTGGGTTAATCTTCATAAATTTAGCTGGACCAGTGCTTTTATCACTCACTCACACACTGTATATCACTTTACACACAGTGCTCAATTAATTTTTTTTTATAATATTTATATTAAACTTTCAAATCTCAAACAGATTTGATAATCACTGAATATTTAATTAAAATGTAGATCTACTGCACTATACTATGGTATTTATCATTTATTTCTTTAGGAACACAGCCATGTTGAGGGGTTTAACAAATGATTTTGGATTATAGGGTCGTAGGACTGAGCCCCAGCCAAGGCAGTCTCATCATTGGCCAGGACTCTTATCAACCTTGCCTCACTCTTCAATGATGTGAATAGGATTTTGCCCATCCAGGAAGGTATCATAAGTCCTAGTGAGTAGTAGTGGCTTCATGTCTTTAGAGAATATAAATACTTCCACTGTAATTCTACTATAGAAAAAAAAGAATGCTAGTACCATAACCAAAAACAGTATATTGGCCCTCAGTTTTATGCTACGGTGTCAATTTCTGCAGGCTACTGAAACAATGTAGTACATAAATTGTACTACAGCAGCATATTGTCCAAAGCTATACCATTCCTTATTGTTCTTCCTTCTCCCATTCTGCAATGCATACTGCCTCAATGCCTACATGTCTACTGTTCATCTTCAATCTAAAAATTACTTTTCTTTAGCCAAGTAACTGCTGGTAAATTTCCCCATGGGCTTGCTTGTCTCTAATATCTCTACTACAGATGGTGGCAATTGTATTATAGTACTGTAAATGGATAGGAAAACTGCAAAACTTTAATACATATTTTTTTCTGGGAGGGCTCCTTGAGCTAGTTACCTGGACAGCTCCACTTAATTCAAGACATGCAAGGCCCTTGCGAGTCACTGTAGGCCTACTGGGGATCAGAGGTTAAAACCTGCACATACCCCCCCCCCCCCCACAGAGGCACAAGGAGCAGGGGATACAAGATCATCCTAACCAAGAAAATTCCACCAAAAAGGGGGATGAACCACAACATACAATCATCAACTAATCACTCCAGGCTTTGACACCTATGCTTGTGTATTGGAAGCTAGGACCAGGGTTCCAGTCACTGCCAATACAACCTGTTTGAAGTGAGAAGCTATCAAAGGGACCCTGAAGGAGGCAACAGGTGTCGAGCTGTATGTATCTGGAATGGTTAGACTGGCAGAGACCCCAAGTGACCTATTGTCCAAGCCTAGTGCCCAAAACTGCCCAATGTTTCCATAACATTGATTGTAGCAGAAACAACATTACAAGTCTGTTAGATTGGACTTCTTCATGAGCAATATGTATGCTAATGTCTTGAGTCCTTTGGGTCATGTTTGTGATTCTGCAAAATAGATTACAATTTCTTAAGTTTATGAAATAACATTTAATTTTTAGTGAAGCACAATTACACGATCTAAATTGCTTTACTTTCTTTTGGATATTGGAATGTTATGCATCTATAATCTTGATTTTTAAGGAAGATTTAAGAAACCGAAAATAAGAAGGGAGTTTGCAAAGGATTACTGCATTATTTCTTTGGTCAAAAAGATCACTGATAATCTTTGTCATTGATTTGATAAACATATATCTTGATTTACTGTACTTAGGCTGACCAAGAGGATAAGCTGTGCATGTCATACTGGGTAGAGAGTATACTGACGCCACCAAATTAGGTAAAGATAATCTGGTCTTCCCTTCATCATACTCTATTTACAAAAATGTGATTTTGCAATTTTGATTTATTTTGTATTAATTTTAAATCTGCCCAGATAATTTAATAAAGCATACTTATTCTTACAGAAAATTGCTGCACTGAAGTAGAAAAGCCTCCTTTCTGGGATGTTGTAGTTTTGACAACTTATGATGCAGCACAGAAAAGAAGTTTTGAAAGGCAAATTGATTTGAAGAAACAGCATGGCCAGTTACCTAAGGTATACTTTTCATATGGAGATTTGCAGGCACCAACCCAGGGTTTAACAGTCTTGGGACCATCAGTGGTTGGATAAAAGGTTAAACCCTCCCGTTCTCTCAAAATATTAAAGTTAGAAAAAGCAGCACAATCAAAATTGTTAAAAAGATACTCAAAAAAGATCAAGATGTTGTTCTACAAATGATCTTAAAGTGATTAGGTGTTATGTTAGGGATATCATAATTTGTTATTTTGGTGGGCTTTGTGGAATTTGAGACTTATGCAGAGGAGTTAAACTGAAAAACTACAGTTTTGTCATATAATTCTCACTACAAACTACTACATGCTGAATATCATGGTACCCCCATAGTGACTTAACCACCTCTCACTATACAATGATCATTTGCATATATTCTTTACCGTGTCAATAAACAGTTGTCCTGGCACTCTATTTCATCCTGTGCTGCTAGTACCACTCCCAGGTATATATATAGAAAGATAATTTCTTTTTCTTAAATTAATATAAATGTAACAAATATGAAAGAAAAAATGATAGGGTATGAGACAATGAGTCACAATAACATGTCTGAAGATATGATGACCATGACTTGATTATGGTCCCGGACGGGCTGGAAGTCACCGTTTTTTCATTTTCTGATGTGTGGTTTGGTCATCAATAATAAGGTGGGAACACACACAACCTGGTTTTGTGTAACCTGAACCATGATATTTGATACAGAATAGAGACTCAACGAGTTTGTCCTTTTCTTTTCATTAAGAAATATTTTTTTTAATTACAAACTATACTTAAGTAATTACTGTACATGATTCAAGAAAAAGAAAAAAATGTTTAAATGCATATCCAATATAACTATATAAACGTATTGCTTACATTTTTACCCTTTCTGCTTCCAGGTTCCCATTTATGTGGTGGCTGATCCACCCAACCAGAAGCTTGGAGTTGGCGGCTCTACACTCCACGTACTGGCTAAACTTCTTGAAGAATTTGGAGATGGACTTTATCAAAAGAAAATACTCATAATCCATTCTGGTATGATTTTGAAATGTAAAGTTTTTGGATTTTCTAATGATTTACAAATAAAAATGTTCCCAATATTTAACATGTGGCTTTATTTGTTTTCTCAGAAAGTGGGACTAAACAATTTATTTATGTAGATACTGTGATGTACTCTGGGGCGCAGCTATTATCCTGGCAGGTGTTGTGCCAAATGCACATTAAAAAAAATATTAAAATAAAACTGCTGGTTCTTTACAGTGAGCACGTTGCAGTGAATGAACATAATAATAAGAACTTCAAATATTTAATATAAGTCATTTTTGTTAAAGTTTTGTTAAATTTTACAAAAAATAATAATGTGAGCTATCTGGAGAATGCTTTTACATAGTGATGTGAAACTAGTTCCCATACTAATAAAGTATTCCAACGTAATTAACTATACTAGTTACCTCTCCTACCATCCTTTTCCTACTCATTACACTCATATTACAGTTGGCTTTATTCTCGACTCAATTGGGGATCCTGTGTTAAATTCCTTGGTGGATCATTCTGTGCTGATCCTTTTTCACTGCAGTTACATTATGTCCTTTTGAAGATGAGGTCTCCATGTCTAGATACAAAAGTACAGATGGGGAGCTGACCAGGGATTTGTACTGCTGAATACCCACTTTCTCTTTCTTCATCTCAAGGTTTGTTTGATTTTTTTTTAGGGTTTAGTTGGCTTTTTCTACTGCAACTCCAATTTTCTGAACAGTTTTCAATGTCTGGTGTATTATTACTCAGTTTTATTTAAATGTGCTGGAGGGTCGTATCATTGGTATGATATTTTGTATTGTTATGCTGTCCATGTAAGGTCTTGCATTTTCTAATTTTAAGGAGCATTTGCCAGTTTTCTGATCATTTGTCGAGTTCAGGTAGATTGGTTTGCAAGGCTTCAATATTGGTACAGTATTCACTTTACACTTTCCCATAGATCTTTGTACCCCCCTTGCAAATTTGGTTATGTGCTCTGTGATATTGTCATCTGTCATTGATATACATTACAAAGAGGGGCCTGGCCCTAAAATGAAACCTTGTATATAGTACTATTTGATCATTTTTCCAGTCAGATTCTCTTTCATTTAGGATAACTCTTTGATTTTTCTTTTTTTTTTTTTTTTAGGTGGCAGCAGCCAACGGTTGCCCAGTTATAGTGTCCTGGGGAAGATATTTGCACCTATTCCTGTCAAAGGTAAGGTTTCTGTGCTGTAAATAAAGTTACATCAATGGTGTTACGAAACTGTAAATTTAGTAAAGAAATATGCTTCATGTGCAGATAGAAACTAAAATGGAGAAAGATGGGTATAATTTCATTCATTTATTTATATACCAAAGGTACAATGAATTATATTAAAAATGCTGGTGATTAAGTGGCATGCTCAAACAAATCCACAATCGGCACCTTTATTCTTTTAGCACCTTATAAACATATTTTCCACCCATTAAGGAAAGCATTACTACATCAGAAAAATAGGAAGTGCTGCTCAATTACCTGAGCCACTGCCTAGTTTTTAATAACATATTAGTCTAGTAATTTTAGCAAAATATCCCCAACTTGCTGATTTTAGGTAGTAACTGTGGGACTAACTTTTCCACTGCTGCTCACTGATTAAGGGGTGGTGTGCATGATAAACTTATTAGTTACAACACTAGCTCTCCACATACGTCAGTTGCTTAATTTAGACTATACTTGTAGTTGGTCTTGAACCCAGTGTTGATGTGACGATGTACATTGAATTTTGTAACTAGCTCATCAAAACTAACACTTAAATGATCGTCAATAATCCTATTTGCACTAATTACAATTAATACATTTTCCCCAACGGTTACTTGAATCGCTTTGGAACTCTAAAGTATCCATCACGTTTCCTATTAGGCAAAATAATGATCAACTTGCCATCAGCAATCTGTGTCCAACACAAGGTCAGGTGAAGTGTGGATGTAAGCCAATCAGGAATGTAGAATCTGCAGCCTGACTTCAATACTGGTTCAATGACAAAGTCTGGATATACTGCAGATCTTTTCCAGTGCCATTAACATTCACCAACATATGATGTAATACTCATTTGAGCTTTACGCTCTCTCCCTCCTTCAAACACTCTACCCCATGCCTCGCTTGAGCTCTTGGTTCCAGTACTCGCACAAGGCTCCTCGTCTTGGCTATCACGACACGTCATTACATTTCCAAAGTCAAACTCCTGTAACCACAACACAAAACAACCTCTTTGAATGTTGTCACCCAAAATCGTACAAGTTACACTGTATTATCTAAGATAATGTTTGTTACAAAGTTGCAAATAAGTGTTGTAACATTACAAAACAAGCCTGCAAATCCACACCAATAGGTGTCTCTCCCCTTCTTCTCAGACAACATGCTGAGTATGACCTACACATCCTCCATAATTCACAGTTGATTAAAAATGATCTAGAATGTGCTTCTCTCTACTAAAGTCTGCTTGTAATAAGTATACAGTACTGTATATCCTAAGACAAACTTTAACAAGAGAATGCTGTACATTAACATAGTCATGTACAGTAGTAAATAAATGATAACTAAAATTACCAGAACAACCATGTCATTTTATTCTTCAAACCCCTAAAATTTAAGCACTTGCATCTGCTCTTTAGTAATTCTTCTCATTTATTCCAGAACTAAGTGTGGACTCAGCTGTGCCACAGATGTTGGACCTCAAGTTAGCCATGTATCTTCCCTTTTGTGAGCTGCTCGGACCTGGTGTGTTTGTTACATGTGCTGATGATATTGAGACGTACTACCTCAGTGAAGAAAGTTTAGGTCAGTAAGTGCTCTTATATCCATTGTAGAGTAATTCAGTGTTGAGGAGGATTAGATACTGTACTACCAAAGGGTTTGTGGCACACAAGAGCCCCCCAAAAATGTTTTAAGCGCATGCTGGCCTACACTTAAAACATACAGCACAAATAAATAAATAAATAAATAAATATTATATACAGGAGATTATATATATATGTGAACAAGCCTGAACGGTCTCCAGGCATATATGCAACTGAAAACTCACACCCCAGAAGTGACTCGAACCCATACTGCCAGAAGCAATGCATCTGATGTACAGGATAACCTTAACCACTTTGTTCGCATTTGTGTTCCTCACGCGTGCCCCAAAGAATGAGGTGATTTGATAAAATACCATGCCCAAGATTACCAACAGAGTGCCGGCAGGGAGATGGGAATTAGCCTCGGCTACCATCCTCTTTTGTCCGGTCGTGTTGGTCGAGTGGTTAAGGGATCCTGTACATCAGATGCATTGCTTCTGACAGTATGGGTTCGAGTCACTTCTGAGGTGTGAGTTTTCAGTTATTTATATATACTGTAATATATATATATATATATATATATATATACACTATAATATATATAAAATATATATAAAATACTGTATATAACAAAGGCTGCATTAAATGCCCAAGCTGAAAGGAATGTTAGGGAGCTCCAGCCTATGAAGTTGTGTAGTGACAGAAATAGATAAAGGAAGTCTTAAACCTTTCGGCTCCAAATTATTGTATATGATATGATTACAGTACTATTGGGGGTATATATATCAGTATTACTCTATGTATGTATGTATGTATGTGTATATACAGTAATTACCTAAGTGTAGTTTCAGGATGAGTTATGCTCATGATGTCACATCTTCCCAGCACTCTTAGTCATATAACGCTTTGAAACTACTGATGGTTTTGGCCTCTACAACTTTTGTCACTTGACTTGTTCCAACCATCTACCACTCTGTTTGCAAATGAAAACTTTCTAATATTTTTTGGCACCTTTGTTTCCTTAGCTTGAATCTGTGACCTCTTGTTCTTGAAGTTGTTGGTTTCAGGAATTCCTCTTTGTCAATTTCCCTGTTTGGTGCCTTCTTTTGATAATTACTTACATACTCTTTATCAATTTGGTCGAATTCCCGATATTACAGTATTTTGCAAGTGGTGATCATATGGCCTCTTTTTCTTCTATCATCTAGCTTTGGCATATTTAATGCCACTAGCCTCTCTTTGTAACTCTTGTTTTTCACTTTTGCAAGCCATTTTGTAGCATGCCTTTGCACATTTTCCAGTTTATTGATGTGCTTCTTGAGATATTGGCATTATACAACTGCAGCAGAAATATGGTTAACTTGCAAAGGATAACTATTCCAATCTAAGTTATAAGATCTGACATGGTAACCTTCTGCCCACATTCTTCGATAACCCTAAAAGTCACTACCTCAAGAGATTATCTCCTTACCAGTGCACCCACAGCAGATTTATTCTTGCCACAGGATAAGTACCCATTGCAAAACCCAAAGGAACTACAGTACTTCCTCCTCGTGACTTAGAATGCAACATTCCATTCCATAATCATAAGTGTCGGTTATATATACTGAGGATTGTCCATACCACATACAACATAATGCAGCTTCCCGAGTGTTGTGGCATGAATCTGAAGGATGACGGCAAAACTCACTTATCAAGGCACAAATTATCTTCTTGAAATTAAATTGACATTTCTATGTGTTTTAATTAAAGACTGACAAATTATATTTGATGATAAATTTGTCTTTTTAATATAGGTATTTTATATAAAACTTGTTTGTAATTTTTTTTTATTCTTTATATGTATTAATAAAATACATATAAATTAATTCAAGTCTTCTTTTATTAACAGACAAGACATCTTTGGCATCAGCAGATGTGGTAGCCTTGGGTCACCCCTCAAGCATTTCTGTTGGAAAAGGTCACGGTGTATATGTGATAGGAAAGGACATTTCACAATCATTAAGATCTCCAAACAGCATTCAAGAATGCATGGAGGTGTTACAAAAGCCTTCAGAAAACATCATGCGATCAAAAGGAGCAGTTTTTGTTAGGGGTAAGTTGCTTTTTATGAGTAAAATGGATTAGCCTATGACCTGAAAGGCAGAACACATGCTCTTGCTGAATATATCCGGAACACTACAGTAGGCCTATTTACCTATGTAGGGCATGTCCTATTTATACTCAGTTGTTTGCCCTATTGTTTGTCCAACCTATTCTTAGAACTATCTAAGATATTGATGATGGTGCATAACAATGCTTCAACTATCCTGCATTGAAACACTTCAGCGATGAAGTATGGCAGCACTTCAAGGATGCTACATGGCAATGTTTCAATAATGATGCATGGCAATGCTTCAGTGATGATATGGGGCAATGCCTTAGTGACCCCAAATTAAAAGCTGTGCTTTTATTGTGAGGTTAAAAAGGGTGTAAAAAATGGACACCATGAACAAATTCTCCAAGTACTGTATTGTACAATAATTTTTTTTTGTAAAGAGTAAATTGAGCAGATAGGACAAGAAAATTGGCGTGGTCTACTTTAAAATAAATGATGGCAACAAAATAAGTTTGAATACCTTGCAAGCTGCAAAGCTGACAAAATCTTAAAGGATGGAGTGGTATTAGTACTGTATAGCCGGTGGGGGTGACCCCTGGCTGCCCAGGTTTGAATCTTTGAGAGATCATAGAGTTTATAGTGATGTTTAAAGCATGCTGTGTATATTTAATTTTACATATTTATGATGTAAATTTTATACGTACAGTATAATAATATGACATGTCCAGAGAGTAATCACACTACTGATTTATGATGATTATGATAATGACTACAACTGATAATGAGTGCGTGGGAACACCCACTGCGTAGGTTCGAACCCTCATCACAGCTTCTACAGATTTTCTCAAAATGACATGTACCATATTATGTTTTTTGCAATGAATGGTATGGAACATAGGTACATATACTTATGTCATTGTTGAGTTACACATGTTGTCCCTTCTAGATGCACAATGATGCGCTTGAGTGTGTGTAGAAAGATAATTTTAAAGCAGGACATATGGTTGCAACCAAATTTGTTGTGCTGGTGTGGAAGTGTCAACCTACCTGACTACCTACCTGACAGCCTGACTGCATAATCCTGACTATGGGAATAACAGGACCTTGCTTCCCTAATTGGTGCAACCGAATAGTGTGACTCACAAATATTCTTTAATGTATAGTATAGTGAATATTATATATTTAAATTAATAATAGTTTCTGCTGTTTTACAAATGAAAAAACTCATTAAGTTAGAGGGACATGGAAAAAAATGGACATGAAGGGTAAAAATATATGAACTTTAAAATGCTATACAGTACTGTATTTCTTACATGCCTCATTATGTTATTTCAGAGGATGGTTGCGCTTCAACTGAACAAGTATGGAGTGACAGTGTGTTTTGGCTTAGTGGACAAGTTTATCAAAGTCTTCTGCAATGGTATAAAAAAAAACACCCCATCTCGTCAGAACTTGATGCCTATGCACATTTTCTACCTTGCATGGGTACACGAATGGTCTCTGCCAAGTCATCTGATTTCCAAGATTTTCGATCTGAATTGTTACCGATTCTTCAAGGTTTTAGTTTAAAAGTTCTTCTCCTGAATGAATCTGAATTTTATCATATGGGAACCATGGAGGAGTATTTGATGCATTTTAATGTTATGGAAAGTTTCTGTGTAGAGTTAGGACTTATGAAAAATACAAGCAATTCTGATAGTCGCTGCATATTTAAAGTCACTGAGAATGTACAACCAATGTACTTGAAAAGTGGAATGATCATCGAAACTTACTTCTCAAATCCAACCATCAAAATAACACTATTAAACTGCTCAACACAATTTGTCATTGAAAGTAGCCAGATATACTTGTCTTTTACAATTCAAGATAACATAATAATGAGCAATTGTACTCTTCAAGAAAGTACTCGCATTACTTTGCTCTCTGACAACGTGAACCTGTTTGGTAACCTCCTTTATCACACTGTACCAATAATATCGGAAGGACAGCCAATGTATGTTACAGTAGCCTTTGACCTGACTGCCGATATAAAGAGAGTTTCAGAAAACTTGTCAGACATTCACACTTATGGCTGCAGCCTTACTGATGTGTCTCGTATTCTTGGTTTTAAGGTTGCAGAGGTGATGCCCAGTCCCTCAAGCAGTGTGTCCCTCTGGACTGCTAAAATATTCCTGGGAGGCTCAACGGCTGCCGAGAGTTTCTGGCTAACACACCATACCATAAATAAAATTAAGAATGAAAAGGAGGGAGAGCCACTACAGACTAACATTACTAGATGCAGAAGTTCACAGCTGTTCAGTATGAGTGATGTCATAATAATGAAAGACTTGGAGACACTGTTGAGGGATCGAGACCATCTGTCCTCTTGTATGAAAAACTAAAATACTGTATGTAATATTTTATTTATATATAAAAAGCTTCCCGTCCCTAATAATACAAATTATATGTAAATTTATATATTTAATAATTCATCGTGTCAGGAACAGGCAGCCTGTGTATATATATATATATACTTTAGGCTTGTATCAAGGTCTTCCCCTTCCCCCTGGTCAAACTACTGACTTTCTCCAGGATGCAACCCTGCAACAGTTGCTCAACTCCTGTGCACCTGTTCACTGCTAGGTAAACAGCAGCATTAGGTGAAAGGAAACATGCCCAACCATTCCTGTCCCACTCGGGATTCAAACCTCGCAGATTCCCGAGTGTGAATCAAGAATAAACCCTTATATACTGAGAATCTTCAGTGACAATTTTTTTTTTTAACAGTGGCACACTGACAAAAGGGCTTGCAATTTATGGTAATCACCTACAATATTGCCCTGTAGCCTTCTGGGCAAGGCATTTTCTTTTGACAATTACTTTGTCATGGGTGTAGATAGATGGTCATAAATTGTCCCCAGTAGTCTTCAGATAGAAACCCTGAAAAGGATATTAAATTTTATCTTTGAATTTAATATGGTTGCTGTTGGTGTTTTTAAGGATAAATATCAACCATATACCATTACAGAATGTGTGAATTATACCTATAGCATATAATATCTTTTTGAGACTGCCTGATTGATTCTAAGTACAGTACAGTACATTACTGTATGCTTATTTTACACAAAATGTGTCTTGATACAATACACTTGAGGTTTCATTATGTAAAGTGTATTACATTTTAATTTTTGTGCACCATACAATTCATGAGGAACCCATTCCTTCTGAAGCTATTTGTAAATAATTCGGTTGGCATTCACTACTGTAATATGATAATTCCTACATATTTTTAATACTCTGTTAAAGCAGAGTGGATATCAAACTAGTCATATAGATTGTGGTGAGATTTTAGCAATGTATTAATATATGTTGTGGTGAGGCCTGTATTTGTATACGTTGTGGTGAGGATATGCAAGTAATAAACTATAGTCAAATAATTTTTTTTATATATTTATTCTATGTGGTATGGTTGTGTCCAGTCTATGCCCCTCTCTCCACCATCTCCTTGCATCTCTACCCTCTCTCCTCTCCCATCCTTTCTATCTTTCTCCCTTCTTCCCTCTCTCAGAAAATTTAATATTATGAAGAGCAGAAAAACTTCTAAAAACCATGAAAATGCATGGGCAAACAACAAAAGTGCACATGTAAATGGTGGGAGTAAGCAGGCATTCTATGGAAAGCACATCCCCAGTTTCAGATATTTCTTAAAAGGTGGTACTAAAGCTGACCCTGATTAGCCTATGACACTTGCATAACTCCCATGTGTCATCTTGGACAACATTGTCACTTGGATCATCGACTTGCTTTGGCGTCACCAGCAGCTTATTTTTATCTCTATGTGGTATAGAGTTTGTATCATTTAAAATGTTAATTTCTGTCTGTATATGATGATAAAGTGCCATTAAGGTATCTTTGCAACTTTATAGGAAATATGTTTTTCCATGTTCTACATTCAGCACCCACAATATAAAGAGTAAATATATCATATTTATTCATTACTGATGTAATGCCAGGAAGCTTTGGTTAATTAGACAGACTGCCTGCAGTTTTCAAAATACGATGCTTATCGGAAATATGATTCTTGAGCGTTATTTTTGAGTGGAATTCAGGGTGATTGCACATATTTGGGGTTTTAAATTACGACTTTTCATACCGAAAATATGAAAATTAAAAAAAAAAGGGAACTTGTCATATTTTTCCAAAATTGACCTGCAGTTTTTTTACTACGATCGATGCCTATCGGAAATGTGACTCTTGAGCATTATTTTTCAGCGGAATTCAGGATGATTACACATACAGTAGTTGGAGTTTTAATGAAACATATTTGAAAATACACACAGAAATCACAATAGCGTGATGCATCAAATGAACAAATCCACAAGGGCCGTACCCTCGTCACGGCCCTTGTAGATTTGTTCATTTGATGCATCACGCTATTATGATTTCTGTGTGTAATGAAGTAAGGGCAAAGAGGTAGAACAGCCTATTGATAGAGCTCGGGTGCATGGGGAAATTGTGTAAAATCCTGGTTTGTCTCTCAGAGAGACTGCAAGATTCGTGGTAGGTCAGGATGATTTCCCGGTTATAATTATTTTGATCATGTCGTAGCTCAGTCGATTAAGGCAGCATCTGGGATCCTCTCGGACGTAGGTTCGAACCCTCGTCACGGCCCAAGTGGATTTGTTTATTTGAAAATATATTGTACGTTTCTGAATTTCTTATGATATAAAACATATTACGGTTTCAAATTAAGTTCTTAGGAGCGATCCTGCGTCATAATTAGCATACATATATCTTTACTTTTGTTTTGTGTATTAAAGTGACTACAATTTTATAAGTTAATTCCTGTCTGTATATGATGATAAAGTGCCATTAAAATATCTTTGTAACTTTATAGGAAATCGTTAAAACAAATATATCTTGGTTCTTATACTTGAAATATTGTTACATTAAACGTTTGAAAATAAAGTTTATATCTGTATACTGTATTTAATAAAATATGAAACGGTAATGTTTATCGACGCATCTCTGTGAATTACATAATTTATCAGTATTGTGAGGCCAGTATTCCCCCATCAAGCAGGACAATGATTTTTTTTACTAACTTAGTTATACACTGAGGTAAGCTCAAGGTAAGGTAAGTTATGGTAAGGTATGGTAAGGTAAGGTAACTTAGTTATACACTGAGGTAAGCTCAAGGTAAGGTAAGTTATGAGGCTCAAGGTAAGGTAAGGTACACAAAGGTAAGGTAAGTTATGAGGCTCAAGGTAAGGTAAGGTACACAGCAATGTTTTCGCTTTGATGTCCAAAGGGTTTGGAAAGGGAGGGGGGCAGGAAGAGGGATGGGGAGATGAAATTCTGGAAGATGATGCGAGTGTGGAGAGAGAGGAGATTTTAAAGTTCGGTGGCCTGTCCACCATGGGTTGGCATATGTGTGTGTCGTTTGTTTGGGCAATGTGCTGCTACCTTATTCTATATGAAAGATTACATTGTGTAGATAAAAATCTAGCTATAAGTTCATCTAATATTCCCATCACACAGGATGGTTAGTCATATATGGAATCAAGGGAGAAAATACCAGCCTCAATACAAAAAACAAATCAACTCTGACTAAACAGCAACTACATGATTTTCACTAGAGCTAAGCGCGATTGTCATCCAGCCATTTATAATTTATCCATATGAATAAATTAAATATGGATACGAAACCCATACAGCCTAGAAAGTTTTCATGTATTCACGTAGCTGTGCTTGCGGGGGTTGAGCTGTGGTCTTTCGGCCCGCCTCTCAACTGTCAATTAATCAACTGTTACTAACTACTAAAATTTTTTGTATCCAGACACGAGCGATTGTGTGAAATTGTTTATTTAACCATATTTTCGGTTAAGATTTGTATGCTTAAGCCAAGCTTTATAATTCAGTGTGCATTTTGTGTATGAACAAGTTGATGCTGGTGATGAGGTTGTAGGAGCATAGCGTGCAAGGCGAGCCTCGCTACCAACCTGCACAAGTCCACCCTTCCAACCAACAGTTTTCTTTGGTAACAACGGCTTAATTACCTGTTGGCGGTGTACAATTATATCAAACTGTTTACGAACATATTTACCACATTAGTAATATTTTCTGCGTGATCAAAGTTAATTAAATGATCACATAATATTTTCTAGGTAAGAACTAAGAGAAAATATATAATTATTACTGAAACAATGTCACCCTGTTTAGAGGCGGACGGAAGGCTCGAACCCGCCACCCCGGGCAGACGTTGAGACCCTCGCCGCGCGCCACACTTACTATAAAATATTAAAATTGAGCCTAATTGTTTGATCCAGCGTGACATTAGTCGAGAGAAGATTGATGATGGCGCGTCTGCGGCCAAAAATGTGGAACGCTTCACGATTTTGCGTGTCATCCTTGCGCAGGGGCCATGCTAATCTTCTCTGTATCGTTCCAATTTTAGTATATGTACTGCCGAAGCGAGTACACTGTTGGTGGGACCGAGAACCACCAAGTGATTGTTGAAGCTCCGTCCATATGCTGCCCTTCCCTCTCTCACCTTCCCTCTCTACTCTTAATACATTGATTGATTGATAAAGATTAAGCCACCCAAGAGGTGACACGAGCATGAATAGCCCGTAACTCAATACATTCTCATCTACATAGCGCGCATACGTATATGCACAGTATATACATATCATTATGTATATACTTTGTCATGGGTTCGTATCCTGGCCGGGGAGGATTTACTGGGCGCAAATCCTTAACTGTAGCCTCTGTTTAACTCAACAGTAAAATGTGTACTTGGTTGTAACTGTTCCGAACCTTAATGGAATCTGACCCATATATCAATCAGGTCAACCCATGTGTTGCGTTTCCAAAAGGGTCGCTCATGTTAGAATCGGTGAACGCCCTAGTAATATTGTTGAAAACATCTTAATAACTTATTAAACCAAAGGTCTTTTTATGTCAGAAGAACGGCAGAAACTGGATCTATATATGAAAACTCTTTCAGGACAAAATTTAAAGTAAAACTAAAGATATTTGTAGTTGTATAAAAGTTGCATTTTTCATCGGTCGTAGAGCCGGAAATCCGCAATATTCATCTCAGAACAATGCTTATTTCACGCAGAATCGTTAATAAACGTAAGATTTTTATACGTCTCAAGAAAGATAGAAACATAATCTTCATTTTAAATGCCTTACCATGGGCATATTTGTATTTAAAGCGAAGATACGTGTATTTTTCTAATCTGCGAGCTCCGATCCCGCACAGATCGAGCAACGGAGTAACTCTCTCTCAGAACAATGCTTATTTCACGTAAATTCGTTAATAAACGCAAATGTTTTTATATGTGTTGAGAAAGATAGAAATATAAGCTTCATTTTAAATACTTTACCATAGATATATATAAAGTTCTAATGAAGATACATGTGTTTTAATAATCGCCGAGCTCCGACCCCGCACAGACTGATCGACAGAGCAACTCTCTCAGAACAATGCTTATTTCACGTAAATTCGTTAATAAACACATATGTTTTATATGTCTCAAGAAAGATAGAAATATATATGCTTCACTTTAAATACTTTAACATAGACATATATAAAGCTCAAGTGAAGATACATACATTTTTATAGTGGCATTCAGTAGCTTGTCGGTCATGGAATGCAGAAGCCTACGCGCTTGCCAATATAGTGTGTAATTAACAAAGATACGCTTATAAAGCCTAAAATATTATATGCCTTCAGAAAGACAGAGATATGCTCGTTATTGTGAGTGCACCAAAGGAAATATATCTTGTTGGAGGACAAAGATATATCAATTCTAAAGTAAGTTTCGACTCTCGCTCGGGCGAGAGATAGCGCGACTCTCGCCCCATCTATTGGAGATTCTGTTCACCTAATGACCCAAAGCTACTCAAAGCCTCCTAGCATTACTTAAATAATGAAGAAATATGGTATATTTATTCACTATAATGTTGGTACTTAATGCAGAACACGAGAAAACATATATTTACTATAAAATAATATACTTTCATTATGAAATAAGTAAATATGTGGCCTCATAGGAAGTCAACGGTCCAGGTGTCAATGTTGTGGAGCGATTTATCCAAGATATATTGTTGTCTGGAAAGTGTTTGTTGGCATATCAACCTTCTGTACACAGTGATCCAGTCGTCGCACTTCTCTCCTTAAATGATCGCAAATTTAGTTTATTATATTAACAAGTAGAATACGTATTTCTAATAATATCTAACATAACTAGCCAGAAAATATTTAAGGCTTATTGAAAAATACATGTCTGGAAGTTAAATCGACTTCATAGAACAATAGTGTTGGTCTATACTAATCGTTATTCGTTAGTATGCGTTCGCTACTTAAAACATTTACTGTACTGATGTAAAATCTCCCATGTCTCTTCACACATGGAACACCGAACCT